TCCCTGATGTCCTGAGCTAAGTTAAGCGTGCTCAGTGTTACGTCGATAACCTCTTCTCTTACACTATTGCTGAAAGTGGGCATGTTACCGACATTCAGAACCTCAAGGTTCGATGCCCCAAGAAACTCCATCAGGTCTTCGCCTCGTCTGTTGGTGTTAGAAAATTCGGTTACTGATAATTAATTTTTTTAATTCTGGGAAATCAAACTCAGAAATTGCAACTTTGTTAGACTTATCGCGGTACAGTGTGAGAAATATTGTTAGAAGATATAACGTAACTGGTTCAGTTAATATTAAGCCTCGATATGTGAAAAAAAGTAATATCACAAATGCCGACCGAAGAGCATTAAGAAGAATAATCGTGAAAAACAGGCGTGCCAATTTTTTACAATTAAGTGCTCTGTGAAGTGACGCTGTTGGAAAGAGAATTTCGAGGTCCACAACTCATAGAGAGGCCCACAAACTGGGATTTAGCACTTACAAGGTAAGTTGTCTTATAAAAAAAAAGTGAAGTTAAAACCCTAAAGTTGCACAATTTGTTTATAGGCCAAAGAAAAGCCACTATTAACTCCACTGCAAACGAAAAATCGGCTTAGATGGGCTAAAGAACATAGACAATGGACATCTCAACAATGGTGTGCAATACAATGGAGTGATGAGGCCCGATTCGAAGTTTGTGTTGGTGACAGTCGCAGTAGAGTTATTCGCAAAAAATGAAGCATTTCATGTTGACTGTCTGAAGAGAAAAGTGAAATTTCCAGCATCCATTATGGTCTGGGGCAGTATGTCATCAAAAAGAGTAGGAAAACTTCATTTTATTGATGGAAATGTGAATACAAACAAATATTTGGCAATTTTATAATAAAGGTGATGTTACCCAATGGTAATCTTTCAATTGTTGCTTTGTTAACTTCGCGCATTTATTCGCACATTGTTTATTTGTTCAGATGTTCTATTAGTTATACGAGCCCCTTCCCACTTCAGTTGGCCCACTTCAAGATTTGTACCAAAATATGCCTTTATAAACTAAACATGACGAAACTATTTAAAATGTTTTTGAGAAAATAAATTGTTTTAGAAGTAAATATTTTCGTCATGTTTAGTTTATAAAGGCTTATTTTGGTACAAATCTTGAAGTGGGCCAACTGAAGTGGGAAGGGGCTCGTAGTATTATATTTTTGTTAAGGTTTATATACTTATACCACAGCTTAAATCAATCAGCTATGAAACTCTCCTGTCAGTGTCAAAAACGGCAGCCATTTCGACGAAGAAAGTCGAATGTAAATTCCCCCAGTACAAATATGAAAGTGTTTTTAGTGCTCAGCAGCAGCCGGTACACTATATCATATAGAAATAACATCATTTTGTGATTGCAAAGAATATCTGCGGCTGCTGGCATGGCACAAGGCAACACCGGCTGCTGCTGAGCACTAAAACCTCTTTCATCGATGTAGTGGAAGAAATTACAATCGACTTCATCCGCCGAAATGACAGAAGAGTTTCATAGCTGATTGTTATCTAAACTGTGCTTACACCACAACTTGAGTAGTCCTAGGCCGTGTTGCCGCGTACCATGCTGGGTACGGGATATGCGTTGCAATCGTAAAAATGAAGCGACGATGTTTATTTATTTACAAAAAAGCTTCAGAATAAATTTATATTGGTGGAAGGCTATCACTATTTACAATAAACGGAAAAATATTTACTTTTGTTTGATATATTTACACATGGTGTCCATTTCAAAACTTCCCACCACGGATTTATCGAAAACCACTGATTAAATGAAAAAACGCTGAGACACGTCAAAAGATTTGTCAACGGGGCCAACTTTTTAACCGAAAACGACTTCACCCACTTTCACCTTCTGCCCCTTAGGGTCATCCCCTTAAAAATTTTAATTGACTAGAGGTATCGAAATGTCTTTCAAAGTACTTTATTTTGAAGTTTGATTTTTTAAATCGGTCGCTTTGTTCTCAAGAAAACTAGAAAAACCTTTATTTATCTGAATTTGTTCAGATAGAAAACAAACACACACGAAAATATCACTTTTTATTACAATAAATGTTCAGAATGTTGCTCGTTCAAATTCCTGACATTTTCAAAATGATGTTGCGGGATATTATGGCAGCTTTAGATGATGCGTTGACCAAGTTCATCCAAACTTTTAGGTTGGGGAGTAAACACAATAGATTTCAAATGGCCCCATAGCAGAAGTCTAATGGTGACAAATCAGGAGATCTAGCAGGCCATTCCATAGGTCCTCTTTGCTCTCAAATAAATGGATATCTGGAAACTCGTCGTCTAGCCATTGCCGAACCGGAACGACATACTGAGGAGGAGCGCCGTCTTGCTGGAAATACTTATATTTCAGCCGCATCAAGTATAGGGTTTCCATCCTCTTCGATATGGTTTTCAATGGTTTCAGTGATAAGCGGATTGATCGTGTTCTCCAACATATCCAAATAAATGTCTCCATTCAAATTTTCATTAATAAACAATGGTCTAATCACTTTAATTCCTAAAATGCCTGCCTATACATTAATTTTTTGGAGGTACTGGGTATGCCTTTCTACAAAAGTATGAGGATTTCCATTGCTCCAATTCCTGCAGTTATGCTTATTAACAAATCAATTTAGATTCACTAAATCAGATATTCTTTACATTAATGGTATTATCATTAATGCAGTCATTTGTTCACAAAACTCAATTCTCCTATCGAAATCATCTTTGGTTAAATCTTGCAATATTTTCATTTTGAATGTTATGAAATTTATGGAGTTTAGTAACTGTGTGTTCAGAGCCTAATGAAATACCAGTCGCAGCAACGATTTTGCGTAATGAAGTATTAGGATTTATTCCAAAATGACGCAAAACCTCAACTTGAGCAGCTTCATCCAATACTCTCCGATAATCACGTTTATTTGCAACAGATCCAGTTTGAGTAAATTTATTAACACATATCTAGGCGAAGTTATCTTCCCGGGTTGTCTGGCGTTAAATGTGACGGCAGTTTGCCGAGCACATTGATTTTGGGCACCATAAATTAGAATCGATTCCACTCTTTCGGCTAGTGTGTAAACCATTTCGGAACTCAAATCTGAATCAATGAATTAATTTTCACTATCCCAAGATTGTCACAAAGGTACCTGACAACAAATTAAATTCTCTCTTTCCCTTAGCAACAAATGACTAAACATGTGTATAGCAATAAATACAGTTCGCCCAGGATATGTGTGTTGATGATAAGAATGAGGAAAAAAATTTGGGTTATTATTTGGTTGTTGTTACATCTACTCTTCCAAATTGCTATTTATGTTGGAAGTTTCTGTTTTGAATTATTAATGCACTGTAGATTTAGCAAGCCCTAACAGGCAAAATTTTGAACACTTAGTGAAATAAAAAGTGATATTTTCATGCATTTTTGTTTACTATCTGAACAAATTAAAATAAATAAAGATTTTTCTAATTTCTCAAAAACGAATCGAGTGATTTTAAAAAATCAACCCTCATAATAAAGGACATTAAAACCTTCATGTGGTCTCAAAATAAAATTCTTTGCTGCCAAAATAGCGAAATGGCGGTCGTTTTTGAAACTGACAGGAGAGTTTCATAGTTGATTGTTATCTGAGCTGTGCTTATGCTAACTTGTCACATTTCAAATAATAACCAGGTAAATATAAAACTACTCTTGAGTTGGGTAAATACCACAATTTTGCGGTGATAACTATGACATATAACAGCTGATTCGTGACGTCACGGATCTTAAACCAAACTGATAACTACACTCGCTTGAACGGATTGGTAAATACCAACCCAAAATGGTAAATACCATTTCCATTTGGTTATCCGCTTGAATTTGATTAATGTAAGCGCCATCTACGTGTTTCTCAGTTGTCAATTGTTGTAAATTAGAATCGATTCCACTCTTTCGGCTAGTGTGTAAACCATTTCGGAACTCAAATCTGAATCAATGAATTAATTTTCACTATCCCAAGATTGTCACAAAGGTACCTGACAACAAATTAAATTCTCTCTTTCCCTTAGCAACAAATGACTAAACATGTGTATAGCAATAAATACAGTTCGCCCAGGATATGTGTGTTGATGATAAGAATGAGGAAAAAAATTTGGGTTATTATTTGGTTGTTGTTACATCTACTCTTCCAAATTGCTATTTATGTTGGAAGTTTCTGTTTTGAATTATTAATGCACTGTAGATTTAGCAAGCCCTAACAGGCAAAATTTTGAACACTTAGTGAAATAAAAAGTGATATTTTCATGCATTTTTGTTTACTATCTGAACAAATTAAAATAAATAAAGATTTTTCTAATTTCTCAAAAACGAATCGAGTGATTTTAAAAAATCAACCCTCATAATAAAGGACATTAAAACCTTCATGTGGTCTCAAAATAAAATTCTTTGCTGCCAAAATAGCGAAATGGCGGTCGTTTTTGAAACTGACAGGAGAGTTTCATAGTTGATTGTTATCTGAGCTGTGCTTATGCTACTACCGTAGTAGTAGAATGCATCTGATTTGTTCAAAATGTTCTCTTACCAGTGTGGTATTCTAGGCAATTGACCTAATGTTTTAAATAATATATTATACAGAGCACTGTTAGCACTTGATAATATTTAAAAACTGGTGATATTAGATAATAGCATTATAATTCGCATTTATATAGAGAAACACTGTCCTTATTTTTTAGTGCTTCCCCATGCCAAGGTATTGTATGAAATATGTGACAGGTAATATCCAGTCTCATCTAGAATGGATTTTAACTGTAATATAGCATGAAATTCTTAATTGAGTGACCTACATACATGAGAAAGTTAATTTGGAGTCAATCAGTATTTAGTGGTCTCTGGCAATGTTATACCCTGCAACACAACAAAAGTCACTGGCAAATGACAATGTAATGTGTAACCTAGTAGTACAATCTTAACTTCCTCCATCAAGATAGTGCCCAGTGTTATATAAAAATAATAAATGGATATTTACCTCTGGGCATATAGCAAAATGATACCCTTTTATCTTCAGGCCATTCATATGGGGCAACTTCTTTCATAAATTCTTCCATTGTAATTACTTTGTGATATTCCTTTAATGGCTCTACTTTAAAGTAGGTATCAAAAGGGATTTGAATGGACCTGTGTTCTCCATAACGATACTCAACCCATGCTGGCAACACTAAGGTTCTATTTAATCCTTTTGCAAACCCAAGAGCACCAAGGAAGTGATCTGCTTGGTTCCCAAATCTCCCTACAATTATGAACAATTATTATTGAGTGAAGAATGCATCTTTGTACTTCACTTCAACTTACCCATACATGGACAGTAAGCAATATATCCCAAAGGATCTAGATCAGTAGAAAATACTGATTGCAAAATGTTAAAGAGCACAAATAAGGTGTACATGACTGAATTTAACATTTTTCTAAATATTTCAAAAATACAAGAGAAATTGTATCACTTGGTATACATTCTCAAAAAAAAAAGATATTACTTCAACAAATAAGTAGCAGTTTTCATCAAACAGAAGTAACCTTATTTGCTAACCACATCATTACTAAGTTTTTTTTTTAGTTTTTATAAATTATTAGAGATAATTAAAAACTGAAATAATAATTTTTAACAACCTAGATAAACTGCGTTTTTTGTGGTGGAAGGGGCACCCCGAACGATTTTTTACATGGATTTTTTATCACAAAACCACAGATACAAAACATTTATACGCATTTCTTATTGAATACAAACACCACAGGTCATAAACATAACCCCAAATTTTGCTTAGTTCAGATACCAATTCATTAATCAAATTCAAGCGAATAACCAAATGAAAATGGTATTTAACATTTTGGATTGGTATTTACCATTTACCGATCCGTTCAAGCGAGTGTGGTTATCACCTTAGGCGTATATTTTTTAATTCACCGGTTTAGCCGCCGGTGCAACCAATTATCCAATTTTACTTCCTTTTTTATATAAATCAAATTCAAGCGGATAACCAAATGAAAATGGTATTTACCATTTTGGGTTGGTATTTACCGATCCGTTCAAGCGAGTGTGGTTATCACTTTGGTTATAAGTCCGTGACGTCATGAATCAGCTGTTATATGTCATAGTTATCACCGTAAAATTGTGGTATTTACCCACCTCAGGAGTTGTTTTATATTTCTGGTTATTATTTGAAATGTGACAAGTTAGAATTTTGCCGGGTATTGGTTATTGTTATTGTACTTCAGCTTACTCATCACTGGTATTGGGGACACTTTAAATGTAGTTCCTATGCTTAAGAAAGTACCTATCCTGTGTAGCCATATACCACAAGAATATTAAAATATGGCCATATAAACTCACTAGATGATGTCCACCTGTATTCAGTTTTGCTAATATCTTTTTCCACCATTTCTGCTGAATCAATAAATATTTTCTTTCACATGCGGAAAGCTTTAGAGAATTGAAAGTTATCATAGCTACAAAGCCATGGTTCCATCATTAAAAAAAAATCTGAAAAAGAAAACATTTCTCCCATGATTATTATGAAAGGTTTCTTTTTTAAACTTTCCATACACAGTTGTAGACGAAAAAGCACCGATTATTAAGTGATAATAAAAATAATCAGAGATTATATACGCGCTTTTCTAAAACAACTTGCAACAAAACCGCGGTTAAAACCAACGCGTTCAAGCGATTCGTGTAACTGACGTCATCAACCCGTGTGTCATCTTGAACCATATTATAACCGCGGCACATAACACAGACATTTTGGTTATTCGCTTGGATTTGATTATAGTTCATAGACAATTTTGGTGTACAACCGGTCGCTCAGACGGAAATTAAAGGAAGTAAAATTGGATAATTGCAACGGTGGCTCAACCGGTGAATGAAAAAATACGCCTATAGGTTATAAGATCCGTGACGTCATTAATCAGCTGTTATATGTCATAGTTATCACCGTAAATTTGTGGTATTTACCCAACTCCCGAGTAGTTTTATATTTCTGGTCTGGTTATTATTTGATATGTGACAAGTTAGAATTTTGGCGGGTGTTGGATAGAGCACCATATTAGATATACTCATTACTGTCGTTGGGGACACTTTAAATCAAGTTCCTATGCTTAACAAAGTATCATGTGTTGCCATATACCACAAGAATATTAAAATATGGCCATATAAACTCACTGGATAATGTCCACCTGTATACGGTTTTGCTAATATCTTTTTCCATCTCCTTATCCTATCATTTCTGCTAAATCAATAAATGTTTTCTTTAACATGCGAAAAATTTTAGAGAATTGAGGGTTAACATAGCTACAAAGGCATGGTTCAAACATTTTTCTGAAAAAAATGTCTCCCATTAATATTATGAAAGGTTTCTTTTTTAATCTTCCCGTACACTGTTCTAGACGAAAAAGCACCGATTATTAAATGATAATAAAAATAATCAGAAATTATATACTCCCTTTTCTAAAATAAACAACTTGCAACAAAACCGCGGTTAAAACCAAGGCGTTCAAGCGATTCGAGTAACTGACGTCATCAACCCGTGTGCCATCTTAAACCATATTATAACCGTGGTACATAATACAGAAATTTTGGTTATTCGCTTGGATTTGATTATTGACGTTTTTAGGAGCATACCCAAAAATACGATACGAATATTCAAATTTGGTTGGGAGATATTATGAATATTTTTCGATATTTTCTCATCACTAGACTGACTGACTTGGCGACATTGATGTTGTAATGGTTCTAATATAAAAACCAATTACAGATTTCTGGATTGAATGTGATATTGCAATTAGTGTTCAATATTCGGTGGTGTTCAAATTTGGCTGACGTAATGTGGAGTATGTGGAGAGAAGCGCGAGAAGCGTTCAATATGTTTCTAGAAAGTAATCAAAGAATGTGCCGATGGCATCCGTGACCTCGCACTCGGGTTGCTAGGCAACGAGGGCCTTCTATCTCTTTCTCTAACACACCTATTGCACGCTTCTCGCGCTTCGCTCTCCTACACATTACGACGTAAGTCAATTTTGAACTACAAATTTGAACCTCACCGTACAGCGCACGGGTTAATAATCAAATCCAAGCGAATAACCAAAATTTCTGTGTTATGTGCCGCGGTTATAATATGGTTCAAGATGACACACGGGTTGATGACGTCAGTTACACGAATCGCTTGAACGCGTTGGTTTTAACCGCGGTTTTGTTGCAAGTTGTTTATTTTAGAAAAGCGCGTATATAATCTCTGATTATTTTTATTATCACTTAATAATCGGTGCTTTTTCGTCTACAACTGTATATGGAAAGTTTAAATAAGAAACCTTTCATAATATTCATGGGAGAAATGTATTTTTCAGATTTTTTTTAATGATGGAACCATCGCTTTGTAGCTATGATAACTTTCAATTCTCTAAATGTTTCCACATGTCAAAGAAAACATTTATTGATTCAGCAGAAATGATGAAAAAAGAAATTAGCAAAACCGTATACAGATGGATATCATCTAGTGAGTTTATATGGCCATATTTTAATATTCTTGTGGTATATGGCTACACAGGATACTTTGTTAAGCATAGGAACTACATTTAAAGTGTCCCCAACAACCGTAATGAGTATAACTAATAAGGTGCTCCACTTTATGGTAAAAGTGAAGTCAGCCTGTATCATTTTTCTCAAAAATGAAGCTGAAGTACAATAACAATATCCAATACCCGGCAAAATTCTAACTTGTCACATTTCAAATAATAACCAGGTAAATATAAAACTACTCTTGAGTTGGGTAAATACCACAATTTTGCGGTGATAACTATGACATATAACAGCTGATTCGTGACGTCACGGATCTTAAACCAAACTGATAACTACACTCGCTTGAACGGATTGGTAAATACCAACCCAAAATGGTAAATACCATTTCCATTTGGTTATCCGCTTGAATTTGATTAATGTAAGCGCCATCTACGTGTTTCTCAGTTGTCAATTGTAAATTTGACAAATGCCATTTCCCATTTCTGAGGGCCCGTCACATTTAGTAAATATTTGATATTATTCAATTATTTTTCATTCATACCTTGAGTTATCTTGGGAGTTAATACTTGTTGATGAGTTGATAACGTATTTGGATCTACTGCTTTGTAACTAGAAAAAAGCTGCAGCAACCTCTCTTGCAGTGTGCTGGAGTTTGGGAGGAACAGTTGCTGATTTGGAGTTTTTTGTATTCCCAAAAGTTTATAAAACTCAGAAGATGACTTTGCCCGAAGGCGAAAGGAAGATGGATAAAAAAGAAAAACCTTTTACGAAAGTAATCGTGCGTAGGCTGCCCCCATCGATTGACCAAGCAACATTTCTCCATCAAGTGTCTCCAGTTCCAGATTACAATTGCATCTACACTGTGAAAGGGGACTCCAGTTTGGGAGAATACGCATTTTCTAGGATCTATATCAATTTTTGCCATCCAGAAGACGTATATAGTTTCAAGGAAAGATTCGATAACTATGTTTTTCTTGATAATAAAGGCCATGAATATCCTGCTGTTGTGGAATTTGCTCCATTTCAAAAAATACCAAAGAAACGTGGAAAGGCTAGAACTGATCCAAAATGTGGAACAATTGAGTCAGACCCAGCTTATGTCCAATTCATTGAATTACTGAACAAACCTGTAGAACCTGATGAAAAGCCAGAATATTCATTGCAGTTGACTTCAGATAAAAAGAATGAAACTAGTATTACAACTCCATTGCTGGAATTCATTAAGAACAAAAGGGCTCAAAGGATGAAGATTAGAGAGATCAGACGTGAAGAGAGAAAAAGGAAGGAGTTTGATAAGAGAAGAGAAAGATTTGATGAACGTAAGAAACATCCAGATGATAATTTTTCCAATAGAAGAGACAAGTCAGCAGGCAAAGATGACAAAGTAGAAGGAAATGACTACAAAGAAGCTAAATTTGAGAAAGAGAAGGATGACAAGTTTTATTATAGAGGGAAGGATAGGAAATATCAGGAGCATCGTAAATATGAAGATAGATCAAAGGAAATTAAGCCTAGATATCCTAAAAAAGAGTACTTAGAAAACAAAGAGGTAAAGGATAGAGATTTTAGACCAAAGTTTGGATACAAAAAGGATGAGGTTAAACAGTTTCCAAAGAAGGTGAAAAAATATAGCGAGAAAAGGGAAGAACGAAAAATGGTAGCTCAAAGAGCAGAGCAAGATAAATCTGCACAATCTGCCAATACCAGTTTGACAGAGGTTTTGGAAGGTACTGAGGAAACTCCTACCAAGCCTTCAGAAATGGAATTGAAAACTGAAGCAACGTCTGCAGAAAATAAAACTGAACAGCCAGAGAAACCCAGTACTGTTAGTTCAGAACCAGCCCAAAACAAAAAAGAAGTAGAGTCACCTAGAGAAAAGTCTGCTACAGACACAGAATCAAAAGAAAATAGTCAGAAAGATGGTACTAAGGATAAGGAACCTGCTGAATCACATTCTCAGAGAAGAATAAGGAATAAAGATAGGCCAACTATTGCCATTTACCGCCCTGGAATGCTGTCCAAAAGGAAGCAAGAAACTGATACCACTGATAAAAATTGTAACAAAAATGAAAGTAAATCGGAAGGTTCTAAGAATTAACTTATGTGTATTAATGTATTTAAAAAACATTTTATATAGTAATAAATTTTAATTACTACTACTATAAGTACTGATTTGATAAATTGGCAGATATAAGGGTGCAATTTATAACAAAATTTATTGAATTGATTTAATAATGCCTAGTAGCTGATATTTGCATTATTTTTTTTAAGTCATCCTTTTGAAGCTAATATCATCGGATTATTTTCATGAATCCCTCCGACGCCATCGACTCTTTCCGATCGAAGTGTTTGTCTGAACACTGGCTGTATTAATTTCACTGGACCATTTTCATTAATTCCTCGATGGCATTAGTTATACTGATGTTTTGAGCCTAATAATTTCATCGGCCTATTTAGGGTCCCAGTCGACATGACAGGTGTTTGAATGATAAACTCGCGAAGCTAATTTCACAAGAGTATTTTCATTAATCCCTCCTTCCTGTTCCAGGTGTTTTATGTGAAATGAGTTTCACCCAACTATTTCATTAATCCTACGACGACATCGACTAATCTCATTCTAGATGTTTGCCTGAATGCTACTGCTCAAATTGTGACCTCGATTGCCCATTCCTGATTTGAACTAAAAGATGCTAAGCTACATCATGTGGCGTTGTTATAATTTTTCAAAAATTCATATATCCCAAGAGCATGATTCTCAACTGGGTGACCAAAAATATTTTGCTTTGACCATCGATTGTTTTATATTTTGTGACTGATCAATTTCTGATGAACTCAATGGGCCAGATGCTTGCAACCATGTGTTACAGACGCACCAAACTTTGCGAGTTATAAGTACTTATTAGTCTTGAAAATTTTTGTTTTTTGTGTCACCTACATGTGCATAACAAGAGTGTCAGCTCTCGCCCTATGACCTAGACTATATTGAACGAGTATACATCACGCTAAGACGTCTACTGAGGTGAGCAGCAAGTGGCATTTTTATGTTAGTCTGCAACATTGGCAATAATCAATCGAGTATAAATCTAGTAAAACTTGTCTGTGGCGTTTTGTTTTTTGTATGCAAATTAACTTTTCTAAATAAAAGAACTGTTAACAAGTACAAAATGAATCTGTAGCTTACAAAAAGCCAAAACAAAATACGGCTCTACCTTGGGTTGACGGATCCGTCAGAATTATGTATGTACGTGTCCTGTGCCGATATGGGGAATGTTGAGATATCACTAGATAATCAGCTGTCATTCTGCCGTGATGGATACTCGTGAAATAGGGTATATACACATATGTGTATGACGTTGCATTGAATGGGTTAATAAATTGTTTGCATACTGTAACAGAACACTGTACTCTGGGATAATTTACTTTAGGGGTAAAACGTAGGAACAGTAAACAAATCATTAATATACTAAACAATCATTTTTATTCTTACAGTTTCAGAACGTTTTTAAGCGATAATTCATATTTTACATATACAGTACCAAAAAAATATCACAAATACAAACAAAAGCAATAGGAGATTATGTTGAGCGACATAATCCTAAACTAAAAGTGATGACCTTAAAAATATACAGATCTAAAACTGCGTACTGGATGAGTCGATCCAGAATGAACACGCTGTACAAGTGAAAGAAAATAATTCTATGACACACAAAATCATACTTTACTTCTGTTGTGTTTAAATACAACAATATAACGTAAAACCATGTAAACCTCATCAATGAATTTGACACGAATACAATGGATGTTTCTACCAACAAATCGTTTTCTACTACATTATGCTATAACACAGTTAACATCGTCAACCTTTCTCTTTTGTTATTTACATGGCTCGTTTCTACAGAGTTAACCCAAGGGAATATACACTGTTATAATGTGGAAAATAACTTTCAAGATAGAAACTGCATGCAGTTTTAGATGTAATAAAATATTGATGTTGATCAATCTTCCATTTTACTATTGATATTATGTTGTCAAACTGATAAGATTCAGCCAAAATACTTAGTTCCAATCTTCTTATAAAAGCCCGCAACAATAATTTCCTTTCAAGTACTATTCCAAACTTTGTCAAACGAAAATCAAATTTCCCAAGTCCCTGGTAAAAACCTTCATTGTTCCAAATATATACACATATACTGATAACCATTATTAAGCTTTAACATTACACTGGCTTCCCAGCGGTTACTAAAATGCAATTACAATAGAAAAAATCGTATGAATACTAAAACAGACCATGTTTAGTATGGAATTGTAAAAATCTCATTCAATTTGGGTCTTCTACGACATTTCTCAATTGAAGTAATTTTTCATTTTTTTTTATCGAAATACCCCATATTTGCTGTACTATGGGTTAATTAATGACTTACTAAAAAACTTGGGAAACATTAACTGTCTTTCAAACAGGGCGGAATGATCTTCATTTTCAATACACATAATTATGCTGTTTTTAATTTTTCTAATATAGAAACCCTTGGGAGGCTGTACTAATTTGTTATAATTATTGAAATGTGAGCTCATTCCTTACCTATTAGGTAGTTGATAGCTTTAAACTGAGGGCTCATACTCGATTTAAGCTTGAAAATCTGAATCTGCCATGTACACTGGACTAGAATCACCTACAGCCAAGTCAATGTTATGAGTGAACCAGTACTTACTCGGTAAGGGTTATTGTGTAGTGCAACTTGGGGGCATATTTCCCATCTTGTATACCAAAAACGGTAAAATACCTATGCATGATAGAATGTCTAAATGGAAACATTGGGGCATTCAAGGAACTATAGTGCTGTTGATTCCTGCATGCGGCTATTCAACTTGTCACTCAGTCTTTTTATGTGATGTTTGTTAGAATGGGGCATATATAAATACATTCTTCAACTAAGTTTTAGGAAGATTACAGATAATTTTCATAGAAATTAATATCGAATTTTCTGAAAATATAGGAACTGGCGGTTTATATTAGGGTCCATTCTCACCGAAAGCAACTGGCAACCGCAACACGACAACAGATAATGCGACCAGTTGCTCGACCTGCCGTCGCAAGTAGGTTTGGAGTTGCCTACTACCTGATGACAGATGTCATCTGTGAATGTGACACATCAGCTAATGTTAAGATCGTATCAGCAGAAAATTATTGATCGCATATTTCTAAACGTTTTGTGTTGTTTGATATGATTCAGTCGGAGTAACAGTATTGCAAACCTTCCAGGAGAACTACAGTTGAGACGAGAAGTGTGGCAATCAAGTTGATAGAGTACGAGTGTTCATTGGACTCAACTAATTCAGACTAGGTAGAAGGAGCCTGTCAAAGATGTTTGTCTGTAGTGAGGATCAAAGTGCACTTGACGCATTAAACGCGTCTAATTATTTAAAACAGCGAGCGTTTGCAGATAATTGTGGTGTTAGACGATTTTAAGACATGATACTTCTTACACAGTTTGCATAGAGTGGCACAAGCATAAGAAGGCAGATGTTGCCACTGGTAAGTATTAGTATTGTGTTGATATAGCGCTGTCCCTTTTATTAGGCATTTGCAGCCAAATCAGTCAACACTATGCACTAAAATTACGCAATTTTGACGACACAAATGCAATGTAAACATAGAAGCTTGGCTCCTAATCTATTTAAATTCGGTGATTAGGCCCAAGAAGTATGTTCCGTATATCTTTTCTTGTACACATATTTATATATATATATATATATATATATATATATATATATATATATATATATATATATATATATTTCTAGTTTTTGATACGCAAAAATACTGTCTATGCTGATACTGAGCTGGCTAGATTTTATTTGTGAAATTTTAAGACCAAATCTGTTTTAATTCCGCTTTCTTATCTTATCTTACCTCAACACCAGTTGGTTGGCAATTGCTTCAGTAAAAAAGCAGAAGCAACGTAACTGAATTCGAAGTCGGGTTGTCATTGGGTTACTTTTGGTAAGAATAGTATCTTACGAGCAACTTTCAAAGAAACAGCTTTGTAGTAGACATAGCCTTTATGTGTACACTGAAAACCAAATAACACTGACGTCATAATGTGTATCAGAGAGAAGCGCTAAAAGCATGCAATATGTGTGTTAGAAAAATATAGAAGCACCTCGTTGCCTAGTGTCGAGGTCAAGGATGCCATCGGCGTACTCTTTCCAACATACATATTGGACGCTTCTATCTCGTACGCACTGCGGTTTCAGCCAAGTTTGAACCCCACCGTATGTCCTCTTCTTATTATCAATATTTTATATTCTTCGGTTCATTGCTCGTGGTAAGAATGAACATGTATTACTGATCGCCGCAGACAATATAAGATTTTTTGTTTATGAATGTAGATGAAGTTTTATGGGATCTGAGCTTATATTCATTTGCTCACGTCAACTATATACATCAAGATTCTGGTTTATAGCTTTCATTAATAGCTGATTGGTAATTTTGAAGTTCCAGTGAAGTGAAGAGATTTTTGATATTTATGAGTTACATTACAGCAAAACTAAAATGAGACGCAGTACAATGTTTTCAAACAATTAAAATACACATTATCACATTCAGATTGAGGGTTGGTGGAAAGTACCCTTCTTTTCGATATATAACGTGATCATTTTATGTGCATGTGTAATCAAAATCTCGTAGGCGAACATTCGAATTGTGCAGCTTCTGATGACTAGTCGCGCCCCAAAATGATGTATCTATCGTCCAATGAAAGAACATGTGTTTTCCAATCACTGCTAACCTGCAAGTGTACTTATTGTATGTATGGTCCACAGTTTGAACATTTTTGGCAGTTAGTTATTAACTTGAAGTGTTCTTTTTTCACTAACAAACGGATCACAAGAAAAGTAAAACAGTTCGTAGAAACCTATACAAAATTTACAATCAGTAACAAGATCAAAAAATATCTTCGCCTTTATACAAATAAGCAATACATTTGTTTTCTAATTTATAATTTTTGCTATTTGTTATTTACAAAAAGTTATTCGATTTACAGAATAGTCTTTCAACTTGAATGTCTTTAGCAAACCGTCACTATTGCGAGCGTAAACTACAAAATTCTGCTGCACACTTCCAACAAACGGTCAAGAAGGTTTCCTTTCTGTAACCCGAATAAATAGTACTGGTTTCATAAAATATGACAGTACTGTCAGTAATAATTATCTGCGTTCAAACTTCTTTGTCCAGTATTTTGCTAATACACATTTCCTCAACATATGTCCCTTTTTTCGTATACTCTGTTTCATCAGAATTTAGAAGCCCGGTTCGTACAACTGTCCCCAACCTGTCAGTGATCGTCTCCAATATCTCGCCACACAAATTCCGTTCATTCTGCTACGCTATATAGGCAGAATTTACAACCACTGTACGAAAAAACCTAGACACATCAGAGACCCCAACACACACCTTGACACGCCATCATATCGACAGCGCAGATACTCAATGTATATGACGTCTCTGTCATCTTTTACAATAAAACACAGATTATAAAATATTGTGATGACAAACAATATTTAAAGCCCAACTCAATTTTGGATTATCACTGGCAACTTTTGAAACAGAGACAAATACGTTCAAGCATGAGTAAGCTAAATCTTGAAATAATCAAGTTGGGCCTCATCAGTGTCTGTGCACACAGAGTGATAAAAATTGGTACCGAAAAGATATCAGAAACGATAAAGAATAAAATATATGGTCAAATCAGTGTTTTCAAATATTTCTCGCCTAACCAGGCGCGCAGGTGTAAAGGTATAATTAACAGTAATCACAAACTCTGTAGTTTCATGTTGTATCCTAGATAAAGCCTAAATGAAGGAGTACTATGACTACAGTGAAGAAGTCTTCTAGTAGAAAGAAAACAAATGAGTGGTCATAACCTGTCCAGCAGAAACAAACTGGATTGACATATTGGTAGAATGGAATCAGGACATCGCGCGTCATCCAATGTAAAAAATGCCCGAGTTCGCTTATTAAGGAAATGTCACCAATATGAAGGGTTGCCCTTCTTCCAACTGCATCAATTATACGCAATATCTGGGCAATAGCTCCCATGTATGCGGTATTTCAGTTAGGGTTTTACCTGGATTTTGTACCGAGTACGCATTAATCATCTCTATTTGACCAAATGTCTTAGGGACTGTTCTCGCCGAAAGCAACTGCCAATAGGCACAGGTATTCAAATACAAGCGTTCTAACAAAAGCAACGGCAAGCTGTACCAGTATTATGTAAAATAATCCCTATGACAGCGATCTGATCGCCAGACTTGCCATTTGTGTATTAGGTAATCGCTAGCCCATGCGGTGTCTACTCGCTGCGAACGCCACCTATGGAGGAATGGCACGATTACCGTGACTCCGATAATAGAATATAGCACAGATATTGAGCCTTTCAACCATATCAATGGTTGAAAGGCTCAAAGGTTGAAGCAGAGGTTACATCACGTAATGAGGGTATCGACGATTTGCATAATGATTGCTGGCACTGCCATCGTTAGTCCGATTGGAGTTGAAGAATGTCATGTGTGGATGTCATCGTGTACAGTTCAGCTAACAATGAGGTCATATCCTTGAAGAAATATTAATCAGACGAAAGTACTTATCTATAGTGTTTTTCTGTCCTTTGAATTGTCTCAGTTGGAGCAACAGTGTTAAAAATATCCCAATACTGGAGGAAGGATCAGCAGACTCAAGAAATATGTTTGCATACAAGATGTTGCTTTCTGTAGATCATTCTTTGCATATGTATTAATGTTTTGGGAATTTTTTTGGCGAACAAAAGAATACTACATATTCATCTGCTTGATTTTATCTGTGAAGTAAATCACATATACGATTTTTTGAATCCAGAACTCTCTAGAAACTGAATCTATTTAGAGTTTACATTTCCACTGCCTCAGTATGAAATAAGTCTATACCTCTGTTCGACTAACCTCTCCATACCAGTTTTAGCAAGTATATAGATCTTTATTATACACAGTAGTTATACGATTTAGATGTAATTTCAACAGAAGTGTCAGGTATTTTTAGCATAAAAATTCAAGACAATACTGTGACTTGTAAATGGCTGTGAGTCAGGCAAGGTCCAATCACAACGACCGAGTTGCTGGATTGTGCATAAGCCATAAGGAATAAAGAAGAAGACCATATTCTTATTAGTTGAGTATAGAGACAGTTACTTTGTCTACAACCTCAAGGCAGTTACTTTCGGTAGGAACACACGGGCAACATAACTGAAGTTGGGTTGCCATCAAAAGTTGCTTATGATAACAGTACCTTACGTCTTTTATAGTTTCTGATATCTCAACAATATTGACACCATTTTGGATACTCGGTATAGTCGTACAGTCGTTTTGAAATGAGCACCTCAATTTAGATGAAACTCCACTCGTGTATTGCAGTCACAGAAGTACAAAAATAAATAAATGTCGAAACCTACACCCACTCATCGAATTCCAGCAAGGACGAAACGCTACTGCGCAGGGAGAGTGTGTGTGTGTGTGAGTAGAGAGATAGAGAGAGTGCATTCACAGCCATTTTCCGTACATTTTGAGCATTACATTGTGTTGTAAACTGGGTTGTTGTGCCTTGGCCGTACGTTCAGTTTGGCCAAAGGGTGACTTTTGCCGTACTGCTGTTGTTTTTTCTTCGCCGCTGCGGTAATGACTGTTGCCACCAGGTTAGCGGGTGAAGCAGTTCGTACCACAGGAGCTATCGGAGGACGCTTGTCGCTTTTTTCTGAAAAAAAGGGAAGACGCTTAGTACAGAGCATCCAGTGGTAAAGTTCACTTTTTGATTTAAGTAAAAAAATACAAACTTAATGAAAACAAAATATTTATTACTATCAACATATTCGTAAATTCGGCAGGTTTTATTTCTTAAATATCATTCCGTCCATGAATGAATGAATCTTGAAATTAAAGGCATTCCGACCACCATAAGGAGCCAGTGCATAGGCCGCTTAAGCAGGCCCTTATGCACCTCTACAATCCTTAGATCACAAGCGTCGCCCTTTTAGCGAAGTTGAGAATCGCCTTGAGTCCAAGCTCCTTGACGTCCTGAGGGTCCAAGGTAATGGACCCCAGTATAGTCTGCCTATAGTAGCTCAGAGCTTCACAGCGACACAAAACGTGCGCCGAGGTCTCTTCCTCTACTCCACAGCATTCACACAAGGGATCCTCAGCCACTCCCATCACGTGCAGGTCACGCCTTAATATGTTATGGCCAGACAACAGTCCCACCAGCAACCTTAGGTTGGCTCTATTCAGAGATAGGCAGAAGCGTCCATCCTTAGCACTGGGCCCTTCAATGAGTTCTCGTGCCTGGCGGAGATGTCTGGAGATACTTCTCCATTTCTGAGAGTGTTGTCTTGCAACCCACGTCTCCATTTTCCTCCTAGCTTTATGCGCGGTCACTCCTAGAGCTGGCTCAGGACCAACGAGCTTGCTGGCTGATCCTGTCTTCGCCAGAGTGTCCGCCGTCTCATTGCCCCTTATCCCAGCGTGCCCCGGTAACCATATTAACGATACCGGATGCCTCGCTGCGAGGCAATCCAGAGCCTCCCTGCATTGCAATACAAGACTCGAAGTAATCTTACAGGCACTTAGTGATTTCATTGCAGCCTGGCTGTCGGATAAGATTGTTATTCTCCTAGGCCCACCCTCCTCCAGAATGTGAGATACACAAGCCAGAATCGCAAAGATTTCCGCCTGGAAAATGGTGGTGTATCCACCGAGAGGCAGAGATAGCCTAGTTCTAGGCCCAGAGACCCCAGCACCTCAGCCCTCTTCGGTGACCGAGCCGTCCGTGTACCAGACTTGCCCGCTCACACTGGCTACCGGCATCCCACTCCTCCCTCGTTGGATACTCCACAATAAACTTGCGGCTGAAGCGATATTTAGGGGTAATACGATCACCCCTGCTTAGAAGGACAGGGTCCTCCCTTTGTAATTCGACTAAGATGGCAGTATGCCCCTTGACAGGGTTCAAGAAAGCCCAGCTGTCCTGACTCCACAGTCGATGAGCGACTACTCTCGCTTCACCGCGGATCACATTCTGTCCAAATGTTTGCCATCCATTCGGACACACTCTTCTAATCGCGCGCGCAAATTCTGAAACACTCTCTATCGTCGAATGTTGCCATTAAGCTCTTTGTGTTCGTGGATTATTGGAATACACTTTTGACTTTAGATAACCCCACAAAAAATAATCGCATGGCGTGAGGTCGCGTGACCTAGGAGGCCAGTGAATGTCTCCAAACTTTGATATAACTTTTAGAGAAAAAAGTGCTTTCACCGTATCCATCGAGTCTCTGGAAGTATGGGCAGTGGCCCCATCCTGTTGAAACCATGTGTTTCTGTTAAATCGACGTTCTGTTCTTACAATATGAGCAAAAAAAGTATCAATCATGTCCTTGTATCGCTCGGAATTGACTGTCAATGCATGACCGTTTTCATCTTCAAAGAAATACGGCCCAATAATACCGATAGAGGATACGGCGCACAGACACCTTTGAACTATGTAGCTGTTGTTGAGGTTTCTCTTTTGGATTCGTTGGCGCCCAATATCTACAATTTTGATTGTTCACATAACCGTCTAAGTGAAAATGGGCCTTGTCACTGAAAACAACTTTATCGAGTCTGTGCTGCGTAGGAAAAAGATTCAACATCCGTTCAGCACAAGATTTTTGTAACACGTAATCACTTTCCTTTAAAACATGGACTGATTGGATTTTATAAGGAGGAAAACCCATTTTTTTCTTCATTATGCCATGTAGTGTTGACCTAGGGATTCCCAAAGCTGCGGAATGCTTCCGTACAGAACGCCCAGGATTTGCAATGACCTTATCACATACCCGACGCACATTTTCTTCGGTTGATACAGTAGGTGTGGGGCCAGGAATGGGTGGACTAAGAGTAGAGCTTGTTTCACGGAACCTTTTAATCCACTTTTTCAATAGGTTCTTACTTGTGGCATCTCTTGGTCGGGGAATGTTGTATCGTGTACAAAATTTCCGAAGGGCAGCTGCGTATGAATCACCACTCTCAAAATAAGCCTCGATAGCAAAAAGGCTCCGGTCCATTGTGACTATTTAATCCGCACGCCGAACGCGTCGATCAAGACCTCTCCCCACTTCTTCGCGAATACGGTTGCCGCGTAATTCAAATTTGAAATGTTAACTTGGAATTAAAAAGAAAATCGACGAAATAATACCCTGTACCCAGAAAGTAATTGTGAGCGTTGTTACTTTTTCTACGAATGGGGAGTGCCAATCATGTAACGTAATAGTTTTAGCGCGGCGTAATAATTGTTTTAACGCCCCATCCTTCGAATATATGTAGGTCTACTTTTGAAGATTTAAACAAGTCGGGTGTGAGGAGATAATCTTTTTTTGATAACTACATTTCTCCCCTTAGCTAAGTAGCTAGTAAGCTAGGTAAATAATGAATGTGTGCATTCAATAGCTTCTTTGGCAGAGATAAACTGTAGTATTTGAAAATGAGAGGAAAACGAATATGTCAACAGGTACTATCCATCTAGCGGCAGCATCGATCTGTGATGCAGACATTGCGTCGGCTGACAGTGTTAGCGGATGTTGAGGAATTTATCAGACATGCTATTATTTTAAAGTCTGATCAAATCAATATATGGCAATATATCATAATTAGTAGTAAAGAATGTTCTATACATACAGGGTGTTTCAGTTTATTGTTGCATAACTTTAAGATTCGATAGAACTTTTAAAATTAATGCATAAAGTCTATATAAACATGGGTCGAAAAATGCGTGACTTCCGAAATACAGGGTGTTTAAATTTACTTTCTAAAATAGTTTTTTTTTAATATTTCGAACAATATTTGACGTATAACAGTGAAAATTGGTATACAAGGGTTTTTTGGTACGACAAAACGAACCATAGTTTTACTGTAGCCGCTAGAGGGCGCTCTCTACTGTACCTGTAGAGTATGAAAATGACCGACAATTTTTTCTTAGTGCAATTTTTTGCTTTTTGAATAAAAAACTGATTCTTCGCTCTTTTTTGCATAAAAAAGCTTCCTTGTGAGTTTTCGTTATAGTTAGCCGTTTTTGAGATATTTCGATTTTTAAGGTTCGATGCATTTTTAATTATTTATGGGAAAATAATATTTTTTTTACATTTTCGATTTGGGCATTACAAGTAATTAAGATGATCGTTTAGATTGTGTTTTTAAACACAGCAATAATTCCTTACTCCAAATAAACACAAAAAACAGAATATTAATTTGTTTAATTTTCCAATATTATTTTTAACAAATTAAATTAATTATTTACAACTAAAATGCTATTGGATAGTTAGGACAAACATACAAAATCTAAAGTGGTTATTCGAAATGTAAACCCAATTATTCAATACACAATTCACATCATCTACGAATGATCGAACGTGGTATAGCATTATTCAAATAAGGCCTTATTTCATCACATGCATTCCTGATTCTGTCTATTAGCATACCTCTTGTGGTTACGGGAGTCTGGTACACTTTTTATTTTAGAAATCCCCACACAAAGAAATCTAATGGATTTAGGTCAGGGGATCGTGGAGGCCAGGCGACTGGTCCTCCACGGCCGATCCATCTTTCTGGATAATTTTCGTCCAGCCGGTTTCTAACTATTCTCGAATAATGAGCTGGACAACCATCAAGCTGGAACCAGGCCAATCTTCTTAAATCGAACATAACATCATCCCACATATTTGCATGTTCAGCCTTAAAAATTCCAAGAAGGTCGCAGCATTTAACCTTGCAGGCAAAAGGTAGGGTCCGAATAGTCGATTACGGTAGATACCAATCCACATGTTCACACTAAATTCATGCTGAAAATGTCTTTCCCGAACTGCATGCGGATTTTCATGCGACCAAATATGTTGATTATGAAAATTTACCACTCCACGTCTAGTGAAGCATGACTCATCGGTCCATAAAACTTTACTTAAAAACTCCCTATTATTATCAGTCCTATCAAGAATCCACTGACAAAATGTGATTCTTCGTTCTCCGTCCCCTGGCTGTAGTCCTTGCACATGTTGCAAATGGTAAGGACGTCTATGGTCATTTCTAAGAACACGGTGAACATGGCTTGCTGAAATTCCCAAGGCACCAGAAACTCTCCTAACACTTGTGGTCGGATCTCTATCAAACTCACGCAGAATCATACGGGTAAATCTGCGCTGACGAACATTTATGTTTTGATCCCTTTGGAGATTTCCAAAACCATTTTCAATTATTTGGCGATGCACTCTTACAAATACTGAGCGAGTTGGATGTCGTCTGTTTGGAAATCTTCGTGCGTATTCTCTGGCTGCTTCTGCTGCGTTTCCATTTACAAAGCCAAGCACAAAATGAATATCCGCTAACTCTTGATTGGAGAATAAAAACGGCATTTTTATAAAACTTACAAAAAAAAAATAGGTAAAAGAAACTAAATTTCGTGCATTCACAATTGCAAAAAAACGTTTCAGGTTTCAACAGACAACAAAACTAACTGTCAACTAATTGACCTTATTCTGCTTTCAATTTCAAAAATATTTGCAGGCACAGCCTACTTCTAAAAATTATCGAGATACTGACTTTTTAACGTTATTGTATCATAAATAATTAAAAATGGATCGAACCTTAAAAATCGAAATATCTCAAAAACGGCTAACTCTAATGAAAATTCACAATAGAGCTTTTTTATGTTGAAAAGTGCAAAGGATCAGTTTTGTTATTCAAAAAGCAAAAAATTCCACTAAGAAAAAAATTTCTGTCATTTTAATACACTACAGGTACAGTAGAGAGCGCCACCTAGCGGCTACAGTAAAACTGTGCCCATGGTTCGTTTTGTCGTACCAAAAAACCCTTGTATACCAATTTTCACTGTTATACATCAAATATTGTTCGAAATTTAAAAAAAAAAACTATTTTAGAAAGTAAATTTAAACACCCTGTATTTCGGAAGTCACGCATTTTTCGACCCATGTTTATATAGACTTTATGCATTAATTTTAAAAGTTATATCGAATCTTAAAGTTATGCAACAATAAACTGAAACACCCTGTATATCAGTGGAGAAGGGCATAATCGTGTTCACCCATTATACAAGACGGTCGGTCAGTAATGGAAAACTTCTTTACCAAAGTATGTACTATCAAATTACTACTAACATAGCCATTGTTGATCGCAATCCTCCAATGAGAAGTTGTATTTCTCCTCTTAGGTAAATAGTTAATAAAAAACACCAAGTGAAACATGAATGACATTTAAAATTGTATTCTCCTAATTTCATTGTCAGTTTGACAACTGAACTTTATATTTTGGAGTATTTGAAAATTATTAAGAAATAAGAGAGGTTGATATGGGAAAACGTTTTCCAGTACTAACATAAAGAATACACAACTACCGCGACTTACTCCCCGCATTAAATGGACATTGTTCACCAACTGCCTGCAATATTCATTGATTTCAGTTTAGCAACAGCCAATTAGATATTTGAAGACACAAGTGAATAAAAATGACTGTCATGTAACAAAAAAATCATTGTATGGAGAAAATTGACTTTAAACATTTTTTATTGGGACTTTTTACATATTGAAAAAATTACATGACACCTTTATTCACTGGTATCTTCATTTGTGAAATAAGTTCTAAACGTCATTATTGGGATGTGAAATCGAATATTTTGAGATATATACTGACAGAAGTGCAACGTTAAACCTCCTATTCGATACAGAGTGTCCTAAAAAAAATGGAAAGTAGTTTTATAGAAAGACTATTAAAGATATTCGAAAACGGTTTTGACATGACATAGGTTTGTACTTCTAAATTATTTGGAAATATATTGGGTATTGAACAATTCCGTCGCACAGCAAACATGTTTTTTAAATGGAACTACCTATATTTTATTAGATATCTGGAAAGATCTTTCTAAGCAAGAAGATTGATATAATACACTACATATAGTTATTTTATTATTAGTCTAAAAAAATACCTATCTTGGAAGGCTCTGAACTCCACCGTTTTGTGTGTATGTCTCATTGAATGTTGAAGAGAGGATGAAAATGTATGCTCGAAGTACGCGGAAAGTGCTGATAATATAATGTTGTAAAGCGCAAAATGTTTTTCTCAAGATTTTTAAATGGAATACCCTGTATACTTCTACACCTACCAGATTCGTCTTTTAATAAGCTTTCTTTTGATATTAGGTTTATTTGAACGAATTTTTAGATGTTACATTAAAATATACTGTGTTCCATTAAAAGTAACATATGTTTATGGTGCCACCGAATTGTGCAAGATCCTGCATATTTTCAAATAATTTAGAAATATATACACCCACGAGATACCGATATGGCCGAGGAAACCGTTTTCGATTCTTTTATAGTTCTTACATAAAACTACTTACCATTTTCGTTGGGGCACCTTGTATATAAATGGTTGATCTCCCACATTAAATCCTTTGACTCTATGCGCCCAAGTTTATGGAAGCACTCGCCTAATAAATGCTCACTTCTAAAAGTAATTATGTAATGTACTATGATTCGCTAACGTTGAACGTTTGACACGAAATGTATTTGAAATTCTTTATTTTAGTATAGGTTTCGGTCACAACGGTGACCTTTGTCAGTACATGACACTTTTGTGACCAAAACGTATACTACGTCAAAGAAGAATTTCAAATATATGTGGTTTCATTGGTCAGACAAACATGGGGGATTATTAACGACATGAAAACCACAGGATAAGTGTCAGATGTGACATGTATGGCCACGTTAAATTGGTGCCAGGCATAAATAATCAAATCCTATTGCCTGATTTTTATAGCGGACTCTAAATGTTGTGAGATAGGCGAACTGAAGAGAGTTCGCTGACACTAGTTTTGAATTAGAAACTCTGGATAAATAAACCAATGAGTGTCTGCTTTTGGATCGCACCAAATTCGTAGATAAAAGATACACACGAACTTTCGAATAGTGTAATTCATTAAATGAGTGAAAATTGATGTTCTACCTGGATAGAATCGTTGTGATACTTCAATGCAGGAGTACCTAGCCGTGTTGGCATGCTGATGATGATTTGTCGCCCGACTCGTCATTCTGTGCGGCCTTTTGTTGACCTGATGGTTATTCTCGAACATCCCGATCAAACTCTTGAAGTCCTCTTTGTTCTCCTCTTTGGCTTGATGAACACTGACTGGTGAAGAAGGTAAACTTTTTCCGCCTTTTTTCACCTCTTCCGTTTGCTCGCAGTTGATATTAGATTTTGCTTCGAACTCTTTCTTTAGATTTTGCACTTTGCCGGAACTGTCCAGTAATCCTTCCACCTTAAAAATAACGATTCATAATAAAACATCATATTATAAACCTGAAAAGTTGGTCTAGCAGATCTAAAAAGTGACGGTCAACTCAGAGAAACAAATTTACTGTTGGTACATCGGTAGAAAAAGTATAAGGTTACTAAGTTGCCTTCTTATAGTCCCGCGTATTAAGTGCTGGGTTGCTTGTTGAGGAAAGCAACTAGTAACCACGAGCCGATAGCAACTAGATCCCGCACATGTATTCAAATACTAGCCTAAACCCACGGCTCAGTTCACGTGGAAGTAGTGTAAAGTATTGGTTATAAGTCTTGCATTAGTTTGAAGAAGATTAGTTTTGAGGAAAATTACAATATTCAATGTAATGCAATAGTTACTTTGGTCACATTTCAATGCATCAATATATGAATGTGAATGTCTATCCAGCATCACGGTACAATACGACGGGACGTAAAAATGTGTACTCTTATTAATTGAAATTAATGAAATACCCGAAAAAAAGGTTCTAAGAAAAGTTTCAAGATAACACAAGTAATTTTTCGATGACACTGTCACTATTATCAAAGTAAGTCTTCCTATAACTTTCTTTTACGTTACTCACACAATAAATTTTTGTTTAGACAAAGGAAACCACCCTGAGCTGGAAGCTGGCGTTAATTATACCTGAGCTTGAAATCACAAATCCTACTGAACCTAAACACCTCTACATGTAGGCTTGTTACCCGTGCTAAGATTCTAAAAGAAACATAGAGAAATGATTTACATTCTACTTGAATTGAAACAAACCTCCAAACAAACCTAAAACAAGACGATCATGCTAAGAAAACGAAGGTCAAAATGCAGTAAATGCATGATGCAAATGCGATCTATTTATATGCCCTTACTTATATCGGTCGGACCAGCGACTGTGCGCTTCCGTATCAGACACCTTATGTCAAATTCCATTAAGCCGTTGGCGCTGTAGTAGCCCGTGAAATAGGCATTTCAAAGTTATTTTACCTGATAAAAAGTTGCATAAGTACTATTCCAGACTATAATTTTATCTTTGTATCGCGGTTCATTCAGACCTATTCAGCCATTTTGACGAGATTGGATAACAAACATCCATACTTTCTCACTTATAATACTGGTAGGGATAGTACAAGTGCTTTAGTTAAACAAACAGCAACGCGAACAGTTGCTCAACAGGTGTTGGAACTACCGTCACTAGTCGGTTTGCAGTTGCCCAAAGTTAATCAAAGACGTTACCCTCCTACAAACTCAAACTAATGTATTTAAATTTAAGAGCTCTTACTATACAGGGTGACTTTGAAGTTGAGTCATTAATTTTCAGATAATGATTGTAGAAGGAAGATAAACCAAAATATGTGTGTAAAAATAAAAAAAAATTAAAAAAAAAATTTTACCTTGTTTTATAAAGTATCCTCCCGACAAGTATTTCAGTGCGGACCTGTATTTGATCGTGAGGTCTTGGAGCACCGGCATGCCGTCCATATGTGAGGTCTTAAGTCAAATGATTCACGAACCCGTTGTATTACATTAACAAAGGCACGAGGGGTTGGTTGCACTCGATTGGGAAACCGATCCGCATAAACATGTGCCATTTTTTATTTCGTTTGAGCCACGCAACAGACACCAATTCACTACCGACTGACACTGACTGTATACAACTGAATGAAATAATTGTAAAAACATCGTTCCAAATTCTTTCGCTTTTTTGTTTCCGATGCGATGAACCGATAAGGCGGATTATATCCGTTGTCGCCAAACACGAGCACATAATATTATTATTGAGACAGGGCGGTACTCAAACTTCCAAAGGGCTATAACTTTGTTACTTTAATTTTACCAGAAAAATGGAAAAGGAAAAAACATTTCTTTTCATCAGATCTACTCACTGTTAAAATAAATGACTCAACTTCGAAGTCACCCTGTATATAAATTACAAATACAAGACACATTTGAAAACGACACAATGCAAAAATAATGGCATCAAGGTAATGTGTTACATCATCCTCTTTCAGTGTTGACACTGAAACACTTTGTTTCCTCATATTCTTAGATTATCTTTATGCTGGGGCCACACTATCGCATTAACGCGAAGATCTGTGTTGCCGCGACACGTCTGGCCAAAGAATTCGTCCTATCGCGAATCATCTTCGCGAATACGAATACCCCTTGCGCTGCTGTCGGTAAATTGCGACAAAGTTCGTGCAGTTGGCCACACTTCGAGCGCTTTTGTTGACTGCGAGGCGACGAGCCGTTTTGAACGTGTTTGATTGACCTTGTTAATAATGCCAAACAAAAAAAAAAACATTCGAATTACGACGCATGGGTGAGAATTAAAGCTAATTTAAGCTGGCCTATTCTGGTTGAGGAACTAAAAGCAAAAATAAAATCTCTTATGGCTTATTATAGAATGCATCTGAATAAACATAAAAAATCGTTGAAGTCTGGAGCAGGCAAGGACGATATTTACCAAACCGATTTTTGTGTATAGAAAACATCCACCATCGACTTTTATTCCTCTTTTTGCCTTTTTTATTTTTGTTCAAGTAATAAAGATGCAGTAAATAATTATTAGCTGCCATATGATACAGCGCCCCTCTTCCATGTTTTCCGCGAAATGAATTATCGCGACCTAGTGAAGTTTTTTTGATGTGGCCAAGCACTTCGCCATGGATCGAAGACGAACTTTTATCGTGACAACGTGAACACGAATCTTCGCCTTCAAGTGTGCCCGTAGCATTAGGAACAATTCTCAAACTTTAAGTGTTGAAAACCTTCCAGAGAGCTCCACTTGATATAAGAGTAAAAATCAAGTTTACAGGATTTTTATTATAAGTGGGGTTTCCCAGGTGAGGCTGTCTAAATAACTGGCAGCCCTACACCGACGATTGGTCAGGTCCGCAATGAGGTTAAAAAAAAGAATTGCAACAATACATTTCTCTCTTGTTACTGAACCAAACTGTGTAGTATTCTCCATATAGTCCTAAAAGTTAAAAATCTATGGGGTGATATACAGGTTTTAAGAATAACTTCTGCTTTCATAAAGTAATAAGTAACACTTTTAGGGATGGTCTTCCCTTAAAAAGACTGAATATCCCACTTTCTTATTAGTAAGTATAGGCATTAACTGAGGTGGTCAGACGGTTTTAGTGGAAACGCAACTGAAATCTGGTTTAAGTCACCTTAGGCCTTAAAGTGATCATATCTTACCTTTTTCACATTATGATTATCAGCACTGCTGTTATTTTGCATATTCTCCAAGAAACTTCTGTGCTGTTTGACCGAGGAACACTGAGTGGTACTTATAACCGATGGTGAGACGTTGGATGCTGACAATGATAATGATCCCTCCTGCGACACAAATTCCATGGACGATGGCTCCGGAGCGCTGATTGATAGCCGTGAATACGCTTCCGAGTTGGAGTTAGCGGAACTGTCATCCTGCGGAATGTTGATCTTTGCCGACACTGCAATAGGATCCGTACCTTGAATCACATAAAATCGCGTGAATTTAAAAAAATTCAACTTCGCAAAAGAGCATTTTTTATTGACAAATATTTTTCAAGAATCAAGTATCTTCTAGGACAATTGCCTATTTTTGTTGGTCTAAAATACAAGAGTAGTTTCTAGTGTGTAATCGGTCCATAGCTCCAAATATATCTAGAAAAGTTAGGTATAAAAATTGTAGTCAATTTCCTTACCGGAAAAATATGTCGTTCTCCATACGGTGACTCAAATTACATGGTAGCTCAAAAATCCAATTTTTTAAATAGAATACCGTATATTTAGTATTTTCTGAAAGGCCTTTTGAACGGAAGAAGGTGGTCACTTTTGCAGATAGAGTAGCAATCTTTTCGTCAAAAAGCCGATAGTTTATCATCTTTTAACGTTTTTTAAATTTTGTACGTCGTCTATACAAGGTATTTATAAGTGCAAATGTATATTTAAAAAAATCAAATGGAATACCCTGTACATGTTTACGGTTTTGTGATATCCTTTATATAAACTTCAATTAGGTCTAAAATTTTGGAAGATTAAACTGAATTTTTAAGCTACTTGCTGTTTCCTGGGAATTACAATTTAAAATGGATACATATATCATTCGAGGAATGAAGATTTTTTTTATGGAGGAGAAGTATTTTCAATGAAGGCTTGTAGCAATCCACTAAAAATCTCGTCTCTCCACGAATCATGTAGTATGTATTTATTTTGAATTCTAATTTCTGGGAAACCACAAATAACTCAAAAATTTAGTAATTCAACCGCCCATAAATATAATATCATAATAAAGCGTAACCTTATATAAGTTCAATTAAGTTTATTTAGAAAAAAGAACATTATATCCCGTAGCTGCAGAAATAGAACGCTATATCAAAAGCTACAAGGGGTCCCACATAAAAAATGCATTTTTTTGCGACCAAGTTATTACGAATCACTCTTTAGAGAGCAGCATATTTTCCGAGTAAGTAGCATACTTTTAAATACATAACTTTTTAGATATTACATAATAACGGTCCTATCACCCGATTGCTCACTAAAAACTCACCCTGTATGTATTTTATATCGTTTTCACTAAAAACTTAGTCTTATGAATTTTAACTTACGATTGGTTTCTGATTGATCCGGTGCAAAATCGAACAAAAGCGTCTCAGAGCTCGGCGTTTTGGCTAAAGAAACACAGCTGCTTGCGAGGCTATCGCTTCCACTTGTTTTTCTAGCAGAATACTCCTCGATCTTTTGTTTGGAACGTTTTACCATACCTGGAAAAAATAAATTCGAATCAACCCATCACACATCCGAATAGCACTGATAAAATGAGTTTTTAACCCCAAAATATATTCGATCGGAAAATAATGAAAGAATTATTTCTCTACTAGGTATTTTTGAAACACCTGTAAATTACAAATTATAACCTCATTAGTAGAGATACATTATATTAAGGTTTGGCAATTGATACTGTATAAATAAGATTTTTGCTTCACTTTAATATTGGTTTAACGCCCATCACTGATAATCTTTTGATTCTCTAATGTTCCAGAAAGTTTATAGAACATACTGAACCTCAGAAAATTATCGGGTATAATTGATTAAAATACGAGTACTCCACCGGAAGATACACAATTCCACTGACAGCCTTGCCTGCGCGAAACTAAACACACGTGAACATATAAGTAAATTCTATGTTACCTCACGTACCTCAGATATGAAACATATCCTTATATTTTGAATGTTTCATGTTGGCGTCGTTTATTTTGAGTGTTTGAGACTTTTTTGATGTTATTGACTCATTTTGTGCTCGTTTTCAACAAACTTTGAGTTGAATTACTGTGTTACTTCACAGCATTTATAGGTTTTGTATTCATCACATCTGTCCAGACTGACCATCATCTATTCCTTGGAAGGTTGATGTCACTTATAAGAATAAACAATTATCTTTAAAAGGGAGATGGAGTTTTTTTTATTATTTCTGAAGGAATTACTGTCTACTGCTTAGCAACATTATCGTGATGATTGAATTTGTATATGAACGTCCCAATAGCATAACATACGTTGGGCATCTTCGTGGAGAATACAATAATAAATGCTGGAATGTAAGTGCATTTCTTACCTTTCTCTCGGGGCCGCATGTCATACGATCCCCAGCTACTGTTCCTACTTGGTAAGGTCCTGGTATCTCCAGAACCCCACGAACTATGCCTTGACAGTTCACATACCACAGCCGAATCATAAGAACTCCATGAACTTTGTCGCGACGGACATTCCCTTGCAGGTTGTTCATCTTCAGTTTGCAGCTGCCTCTTTTCCTCTCTGAAAATTACACAGAAATATTTTTTTAACTCATAAGTTAATATCAATGTTTGTTATTAGAAAAAGGCATCAAGCTAGGATTGCGAATTGGTAATCTGGCGTCAATAAATTTAACTCCAGATCAAAAGTAGGTTTTTTACCCTCATTGACATTCCAACCAAATGAAAAATATTTGTTAAATATTCACTTATTTCTAACAACGAACTATCAGAGACTGTCAGATAGATACATCCAAACAAATCAAAGTTATTATTAGTGTTCCAATCATGGAGTCAAGAGTTCTTATGAAGGTAGACTGTTTTCTTGAGTACCTCAAAATCTCAACTCCAAGACGTCTCCATTGTAATCTGGTCAACTTAATACACAATACTTTTTTGGTTGAGATGCTAGTAAAATTATGACAAACAAACTTGTATAGGAATGTTATTTTTTTCAAGTTAAAATGCACCCTCTGCAGTGATATTCTTGAAAACTACACATACTTTTGTGGTTTACGAGAGATGTACCCTATGTTTCGTCCATAAGCCTATTGCAATAAAGCGATGTTTCACATCATTCCTATTACCATCAATGCTCTTGTTTAATCGGTGCTGCTGAAAACTATCCCTCTATAGCAGATGTAATGTCTTGATTAGTTGACAATATTTTCATAGAAAATGTCTTTCAATTTTGGATATAGGTATGTAGTTGGAAATCCAAGGTGGTCAGATGTTGGCAATACTGTGGGAAATTCAAACCCTACTTGGTGTAGGGCGACCTAGCAATGCAGGAGGTATGGCTCGGATCATTATCCTGATGGAGCAGTTCACTTCCACTGACGTTTCTCTTTAAGAACATTTCGGAAAAGTCCATCTAACGCTACCTTTCTGCCTTGTAACACCATATTTTAGATGTAGACCCGCCATATTGTTTTTCACCAAACATCCTTCTACGCTTAAACACTCTTTAAACATTATTTGGCTATATCATAAGAAATTGATCACTTTCCAACAGTTGCCTTTGTCAGCAGATAATATATTACAAGTTTCCTGCATTTAATATTTTGTCAGCATAACCTAAGATTACTTGATTTACTGTCAACGAAATTCAAAAAATATGCATCTGCAAAGAGCTCAGGGTCAGGCATATAGGTGTCAACCCCCGTATAAGTAAATACTAAATTGAACTTACCTATCAAACACCCTATCCAGATGATTGGAAAACGGATCCTCTATCCTCACAGGAACTTTCGACACGCCATCATCACTATTATTACTATGTACCACAACACTAGTTGTTTCAGTCCGAACTGTTGACGTCCATATATTTTCTGAGCTAACAATAGTTTTTGAATTACATAAATCACTTGTTACAGTAGATGCAGTTGTTGTACTTTGGTTTTCAGTATGCTCTCCAGGATCCCATGGCTCTTTGTCCTTGTCACTACTACTGGTAAAACAGGAACTTTCACCCTGTAAGATGAAATTATAGTTACTAAAAACTCGAAAATATATTTTTCTAATGTCCGATTTGTAATGGCTTGATTACACGTAATGTGTGCAGTGGCGAAAGCAATATACATTTCATATTTTCACGGGTTTGGGTTATCCTTTTTATACGCTTTACTTTTGGTGCACAATTTTTTGGAGGTTAAACTACACAATTTTTGGGTTATTTAGTTTTCCAGAAATAATAATTCAAAGTAGATACCACATTAATCCTAGAAATGGAAGATGAGATAGGTGATCATTTCAATGAGGGCTTGTACTGTACTATAATATCTGGAAAACTGAAAATTTTTCGAAAACTTATGATATAACCCCCCAAAAATATTATATGAAAATATAGTTTATAAAGGATAACCGAAAACCGCAAAAATGTACGGGGTCTCCCATTAGAATTTATTGAGAAAAAACAGATTTTGAGTTTATAAACACCCTGTATAAACGGCGTGCAACATTTAAATGACGAGAAACTATGTGACATGAAGCTGATTTTGATGAAAAGTTGACAATAAGTGACTGACTGTGAAGTTTAGTGTTTTTTCGGAAAAAAATATCCCGTAGCTCTAGTAGCAGGGATCCAAATCGTATAGTATATATACTGTATCAAACTTATTCATTCTTCAGAATACACTAAAATATACAGGGTATTACATTTAAACAAGAGCATGTTTGTGTTGGCACGAATCACCATGCAGAGTGGCATATTCTTCAAGTAAAAATCGTATAAATCGCATCCAACTTTTGTGAATAATTTGGTAGGTATCTATCAACTGATTACATACTAAAAACTAACCCTGCATGTATTATCCCTATCAGACACATTACTGGTGTGTGAGTGGGCTAGTTAAACAAAATCAATTTTACGGTAACTATAGAGTAAACAACGAATAATGATCGCACAGTTTTACCACATTTTCCGACGCAGTTAAACCAAAGAAAAACACCATGGAGTTGGAGGATTACATATTTATATTGTTTATTACGTTAAAAAACAACATTCATTTCAAAAATCATCAAGTTTATTCAAGCGATTGAGTTCAATACCAGTTGTAATGGATAGATTAACAAAAGAACAATTATGAACTGACCCCATTTCCAAACGTCTCCAATGCTCAAAACTTACTTGTTGGAATTCACTTATGTACAGGACCTACATGCATTATTTAACAAGTAATTAGGTATTTAGCCTCCAAAACAAATTTATAATTTAAGGTAACAACAGTGTCAAGTACAGCAACATTAAGGGCTTTTAGCTAAAGTAAAGCGGTCCAGCGATGCAGCGCATTTACGCTGAATAGCAGTAGCCATGGGATAATTTTGTTGATCAAATTTTGCGAACTGCGTTGCACGCTGAACCGCTTTACGCTTCTGACTGCACTCACTGAGTTCAACATGTGGCCAACTAAACCAGTCTGTTGACTATTGAGTGATAAAAACTCTTTGTTCAACCGATCTCACCTGTCTTTCAGAAATAAGCAAAACCTTACCTTCTCGAACTGCGTGGCCAGATTCAACACGCACACCTTAACCGTAGACGGGTTGCTGCCGCCTCCTGTCGTCCCCCCACCACCGCTATCGTGTCCAGGCAGATGAACGATCTGATTGGGCGACACGCTGTACGTCTCGCCGTTGTCGAATGGCATCAAAACATGCCGAGCAGTGGCCTGGTTTACGCCGCCCCCTGTACTGCTTGTGGTGGGACAGGCAGCGGTACTGGGGCTGCCCCCGTTTTGGCTCAAGTCCTCTAGGGACATGAAAGCGGGGGAAGATTTGGCGGCTGTTGCCGATGTCCCCCACGACTTCGGGTTCTCAGGTGACCTAGGAAATAGTGTTTGTTTTTATTTATGTATCAAAACATAGTACGGTACACCGTACATTAAATTCTTTGCAAGATTTCAAAAATAAATTTACGTAGACCGAGGGTTTAGGTGATTATGCCAATTTTTTAGATACTGGTAACAAAGGTTGATAGAACAATAAGATCGATCTTTCCTGTGTGAGAACGGATATATACGTTCTCCCTAGTCAAAAAAAGTTACACTTGTACTATTTTCATAGTTACATTGTTTCCATTGTAACGTTCTCTTATGTTGTCAAATATCTCATTAACTGAATATAAATAAAATAGTTCTTTGTAACATATTGGCAGCTTTAGTAAAAGTTAGTTCGCACGAATATGGGAAACATGCAGTGAGTCACTGCCAATAACTTCGGTCTTTAGGTATATGATGGATTTTACGGTTCGGTACTTGTTCCTGGTACAACCAGAATGGGTTATTTCCAAAATTTTCATTTTAATAGGAATGTTGTCTCCAAAAAGTATATTCTAAGCGTTTTCACTCTTTTTATATAAAAGTAAATGGAAAAGCTTGCCCTTCACAGTTCTAACGTAATATTTAGCGTCAATACTGTGCGGCAATATATTTCTCCATGCCTCATCCTTAAATGTGATTCTAATTCTCCTATGGAGGCTGGGCATCCGTCAAATGTGAGAAAAATCACTCCGACTCTGTAACATTGATAGTTTGACATAATATGTATGGTCATGTTCTATAGATATCAGGAATAAAAATCAGGATTCATGGCAGGAGCAACAAAGTATTGAAATAACTAAAAGTTTTTTAAAACATAACAATCTATTTCAGCTATTAAAAATCCAAGGTCACAGACACAAAAACCTTTACACATACATACTATTACGTACCACGACTTGGGCCGCGCCCCGGCCCTTCTCAGCTCCTGGCCAGTTCGCCTTTCCAATTCCGCGTACGATTTGAACATTAGTTGTGCTGTAGATGTCGATGATTCGCTGATTGACGTTGTCTTTTTATCATGTTTGCTAGTTTCACCATCGGTATTACTGCTCGTGTCATTCGGTGATTTCAGGTTAGTTTCAGACTTGGATCTCTGTAGTTTCTCCTTGTTCTTCATTGCGTCCAGTATACCCTGGAAAATAAACAGGAACAATGATACTATGTTACTGATTTAACATCAATAATTTAAATATATGCTGCATAATTGAGTGAGTTAACAAATTCCATGCCATCTGGAAAGTACATCATTAAAGTTACTTATCCTGGCCTGATTGCTACCGTCGTACTGTATGGATGCACACTGGCACCTCTGCAACTGACAGGTTGCATTTTCTTATGTCAAATTGTGATTTCTTATACCAGATCGCGATATCTACGGAACTAAGTCTGGGTACCAGCGATTAGTGACTTGCACCAGCTGTGTGTGTTGCCTATTTTGAGAATGCGACACTGTTCCAGAGATGGCAGACGTTTTGCTGAATCTATCTAAACCTTTCCGGCAGGGGTATTACGTAACTTAAAAAGTGACATTATGTCGGTTTTTTTGACATTATGTACGTAGTCGTGCCATAAGTTCTGTCCCATGATAATCTCATGATAAAAATGAAACAAGATAAGATATATTTATATGAAAGATATTATTTATTCGACAACATTTTTAGAATTCATAATCAAACAGTTTTATTCAAAATGTCCCCCCTTGGCCTTCACACACTGCTTCAATCTCGCGGGCCACTCATCTATCACTGCACGCACAGCTTCCAAAGGAATAGCTGCCGCTGATCGGATCAAATCCGCTTTCAGGGACTCGATATTACGGTGGGCTTTGGAGCAGGCCAACTGCTCTAGCAGGTCTCACAACTTGTAGTCTAAAGGATTGAGGTCCGGACTCCCTGAGGGCCAATCTTCCGCAGCAATGAACTCTGGCACATTGCTTTCCAGCCAGCGCTGCGTACTCTTAGCCTTGTGAGCGGGGGCGGAATCCTGCTGGTAGACCCAGTGTTGGTTGGCAAACAATGTACCACTTAAAGGCTTGACGATAGGATCCAGTATGTCGCTCTGATAGTTTGCCGCTTTTGTTTTCACGCCCTGTTTACAGAAATGGAGCTGAGTGACCCCTTCGTAGGACACCCCCCACCAAACCATGACTGACGCAGGGTGGTGGCCTCTCTCAACTCTCGGAATGATCTCCGAAGCTTCCTGTGAACTCCTTGCATACACTTTGTCATTTTGTCGGTTGAATTTTTCTTCTATGGTGAAGATTTTCTCATCCGTGAACAAAATCTTTCGGAATCCCCCAGCTGCGTACCTCTCCAAGAGCTTCTTGGATCTTGTCGCCTTGATGTGTCGCAAGGTGGCCGTAAGTCGCTGGCCCGTACGTCTCCGGTAAGCCCCTAGCCCTAGGTCTTGTTTAATGATGCGCGACATCGTCCGGACAGGAATCTTCATTTCCCTGGATAGGATCTTCTGCTTCCGGAGTGGATTCCTTTGAATCCTGGCTTTTACGGCTTTGATGGCTGCTGGAGTCCTTACTTGACGAGGTCTTCCGCTTCTTGGCCTGTCATCAACAGAGGACGTCTCATTGTACCGCTGAATGGTCCTAGACACAAATTTACGCGATATTTGAAGGCCGCGTAAGAGTTCAAAAATCTGACTAGCACTGTGATTACACTTATGTAAAGCTATCACTGCAATACGGTTCTCTGCCTTGCCCCACTCCATCGTTATGCTTCGAGAGATCAATACAAACTGAGGTATATGTAATTACCCGAAAAGCGCTTAATCAACTGACACCACAATGTAAACAATCGGACAAGTATTAACAGGTCTACACTTGTTTGAAAACGAGGGACAGAACTTATGGCATGACTACGTAGGTTTTTCTATAAGACGTCCAGTTGGAACTAGCTGTCGTTCACTTCATGCTCACTTGTAGTAAGCGCGGAATGAACTATTTGCACACTACCCCTACTTAGTCAACAAGTTGACATTTCATCGTTTTTTTACATTATTTTACGAGGTCTGTAAATTAAATGATGAGGCTGCTAACGTAGCGTTCGATCTGGAAACACTGGAAGCAGTGGGGTTGGAGGGGAGACAGGGGAGCATGTGATCCGCCTTCAGTACAAGTGTGAACTCACTCGAGTCATATAGTTGACCGTAGCGATTTTTTTTGTGAAAATTTTCCCTATTGTATTCTAAAAATGAATTACATCAATTTCGAGCAACGGTGTGCTATCAGGTTTTGCTTCAGATTTGGGTAAGTGAAACGGAAACTCCTGGTTTTTCGGTGGCTTAAGATATTTTCAGAAGGGACAGAGTCGATAGAAAATGCACCACGAAGCGGAGGGCTTTCATCTTCAAGAACCGATGAAAATATCGACAGAATCCGGCATCTTGTGCGTTCAGATTGTCGCTTGATAATCAGTATGACCGTGGAAGACTTAAATCACCGTTCATCAGATCAAGAACGATTGGGTGTTGCATCGCGATAAAGCTCCTTGTCAAACGTCAATGTCAATAAACGAGTTTTTGGCAAGTAAAAACTTTCATGTGGCTCCTCAGCCTCCTTATTCGCCTGACTTGAGTCCTTGTGACTTTTTTCTCTTTCTGAAGGAAATGACATCAAGGGAAATAACTCATTTTGGGACATTTAAACGGCTGCAACCGACCAGCTGAATGCTATTCCAGTATCGGAGTTCCAGCCCTGCTATGAGGAGTGGAAGAGCACTGTGAGGCTTCAGAAGAAAGTAACTTTGAAGGTGACAATATAAAATTATAATTATATTTGAATAAAAAAATAAAAAACATCAGTCTCATCACTTAATTTGCAGATCTCGTATACCTATTGCGCATCGGAATGAATTATCAAATAGTTAAAATAGATCTTTACATTTGGTCATATTATTTCCGCCACATCTTATTCCATATCTTATCCTACCAGCCTGCAACCTATAACTTTTGTCGGTGAAATGCGAGTTACAGTAGTTTAAGCAAAAATCAGCAAAACAGCCGTTGCGCCATTCCTTCTTAGGTGGCGCTTATGCCGTGTGGGCTATCTGGAAAGTAGAACCTGGTGTGAATTTTGAAATGGAAACTGTCAGAATGTATTTTTTCCAATGTAAAACATCAAACTGTCATACATCTACAAAGCGAAAGGTGCTGGAAAAAAGTTAGACTATTTGTTTAGGCCTAGAAATATTTGGTAGCATTGCCAGCCCCTCAAGTTCATCAGAAAATGATATATCGACAAGTATTTGTTTCTTTAACATTCTTATGGATATCATATACGAAAGTCCAACTCTCTCAATGCCATAAAGTTGAAGTGAAAGATAATTGTGGAACTGAGGCCAACCCTTCTAGAACAGCTGGTTTGGTAGTGTTACAATAAATAAGCTGTCACTAACACCTACCTGATACGTCTCCAGCTGCAACAAAAAACTATGATTCGGCTTGATGCAACTCCGTTTCTCCTTGACATGTTTCAACGCCGTGTTGAAGTCCCAATTGTACGCCTTCATCGCGTAGGCTATAACGACGGACGCAGACCGGCTAACCCCCATCTTGCAATGCACCAGGACTTTGCTGCCCTGGGATTTCGCTTTCGTGATGTATTTGAAGGTGTCGTCCCAGTGCTTCAACAGGTCGGTGCGCTCGTCGTCGTACACGCGCACATTCAGGTAGTCGAACGTACCCGGAAAGAAGTTGTCTATCTCGCGGGTTACGTTCAGAATATGACCAACCCTAAAAATTATAGAAATAATAATTAGGATAACGTGCATAGGGCGATTCAAAAAAAGAGTGATAACATTCTAAGAGTCACATTCTTAATCGTCACTCATAAGTACACTTGAGGGTACATCAATGAAGTGCCCTCAAGTCTTTTCTAATATACTCGAAATTAGCAACGTCATGATCTGACAAATTTAAATCAAATTTCTATTTCCCTATTTGATGGTTGTGGTTTGGACATTCGTGCGTAAAATTACCCAGATCAAAATGACTTAAGAACGAAAATACTATTCAGAGGCTGAAGGCAGTCTAACCGCCATGCTTTTCTTGGCGTAGACAAACATCTCAGAGTCTGCACCAATTAATTATCTTAGCTTCCCAAATTAAAAGGTGCACTCCATTCTAAGAAAGAACGGCGGAGTTGTGAATTTTGTCCGCAGGAGTATTTCTTGCTCCAGAGATGTTTCTTTGGAATCAGACTTCTCGTCTAAAATGCGGTGGACGTCCATCATGTAGGAACCACATATTTTGTTTCACATTTAGATCTAATAATTGTGGCAGATTGTGTCGAAGAAAATTTCAATAAATTTCACCGGTCAGTCGATGTGGAAAAAAGTAGAGTCCAATAAGCACGACATTTAACTACACCAGCCACGTCATTTAATGAAAATCTATATTGAAAATAAGTTCTTTTTACAGCATGCAGATTTTCTACTGCCCAAACATGATTGTTGTGGAAATTGTCCACCCGATTTCGTGTAAATGTGGCCTGGTCTGTACACAAAATTAATTTCGTAATTCTGCCGAACTGTTCTCAAAGCCCCTGGCAAAATGCGACTCTTCTAGGATGAACTTCAGGTTGCAACGCTTGTACCAGTTGATAATGATAAGGAAAATACTGCTTTTGTCATTTTGTCTACCACACTTTACTATGAGAAACTTCAACTTGAGCTGCTATGGCTCTGGTACTCATTGTTGGGTCATCTTCGAACATTTCTAAAATATCTTCCTCAATTAGTAATATTTCAGGTTGAGCAGGTCTTCCAGCGTGACCTCCTCGTTCTTTTAAATAACCCGTCACGAAATCAAATAACTAAATTTACAAACATCCATGAGGCCGGATGATTTCTCAAATAATCAGACAAATGAAAGTATATGCACTAAGGACTGATACAACTGATCGAACCAAATACTTCGTACTGAAAACCATACAATAACATAATAAGTTTGCCAAATTTAGATGAACGATTAGAGTAGTAAACAAAAAACTCTTAAGATTTTACACGGCAGTGGTCGAGAATATCGAAAAATCTGTGTAATAACGTTCATATTTTTTAATTTTTTTTTACTATTTCTTTATGCAACATTTATGATTTTTGGTATATCAACTCCTTTTGATGAGTCCTACAAGCAATTAAAATAAATGACTCAACTTTGACCCTGTATATTCATCGTTTATATGTAAGTTTTACTTTGTTTTTTTCGGTTTGACCATTTAAAAAAAATCCCAATAGCTTCCAAAAAAACGTGCTTTATTTGTTTGTGTGTGCTATTTTTAACTTGTTGGTATACTTTTGAAACATTTTTTTAAACTTACATTACTTAGATACTGTTTTTTTGCTATGAATCTATTTTTTCATATTTCATGATGATGACTTCAAATAAACGTTTTTTTATACCGAATACTGAAAAATGCATCTAAGGGGATATTCCCGCTTATCTACTTTAACGATGTTCTCTACTGTTTGTCTACTTCCGTTGATAAGGTCGAGATATGTTGTTGTACTAATGCTTATGCAACCGCACTAAGGCTTTTCTCTTTCCAGGAAGCTGTACCAATTTTTTCCTCTTCATTACACTTTTGAATTTACTGACAAATGATTCATCATTTCCTCGTCTTTCGAGACATTTTGCGCTCTTTTGTGACGTTCTCCTTCCCAATGATCGAAAAGTTTCTGATCAATTTTAGCAACAGGAATGACCGTATTTTTTTCTCCGCTGCTGAATACCTTTATTTTTGGATCGTTCATAATAGAAGCGATGCTTGAAAAGGTGACCAACTCGAGATTTAAGAGATATTTACAAACTTAATTGGACTTTTTCCGTATTTTTTAGCTCAAGTAAGGTTGATTAGACATTGTATTTAACACCATTTCTGTAACATTGCTTTGCGAAGGTTTTATTCAAATTTCGACTATTTTAAAAAATTTTATTAAAAAAAAACGCAAGAACACGACCTCCGATCGAGGGATTCAACAAAAATATATGAACTTCTGGGAAAGTTAACTCGCGCTGTCAAAATACTTGAAAAAGCATTTACAGGTAACTATAAGTTAACTTCCTGGTTATAGTTATCTAACCAGAAAGTAAACTTGAGTTTGAAAAAACGGGCCTAACTCTTACAGTCTTAGAGCAACTAGCGCTTTACTCACCCGTTCTTCGTCAGCTCTTCATAATTCGACGCATTCCACTCCGACCCTAGGTAAACGTGATCGAATATTTCCGTAGGCGCATCCATCTGGCCGAGAATCACCAGCATCTCCTGATCAATGAAAGACTTGTACTCGTCCAGGTCCATATCCAGTTCCTCTTCCAATCGACTGCGGATCACCTTGCTCGTTACTTCATCCAGGTCTACGGTCATCATGATTTCTTTCAACGTTGTTCGAATAACCTGAAACAGAAATTGTAAAGAAATTAGGGCTGGTGGGTGGTAGAGTAGGTGATGAATAACTAGTAATGAAATGGATCCAGAGATTTATTTATTCATAAATTCGCAGGATAAGCCCAATTTTAGAATTTTATTCAATTTAAATTAATAAGGTAACTAAATTTACTGAACATAAGTTTCAAATTAATGTCCACATAAATAAAATTTTAAGCAAAGTATTAAGAACAAAGTACAATGCAATCAGAAATAACATGTAAAAGGTAAGGTAACATTATTTAAGGTTCGTTTCAGGGAATCATGGGGTATATGGAAAATATCGCCCTGAAATTTGTTTGCGTTTTTCAACATATTTAGGGGCGAGTGTTGACCGTATAGGGTACGATGTTAAGCAAGTTTGAATGACTTCTGGCCTCTAATGGTCCTAGGAGGAACATTAAAATCTATCATGCCCAAGAAAGAGTTCGGGACTATTTATTAGTCCGGCAATAATTTTGAGACACAAAAGGGTGTCAAAGTTTTCTGCACGATTGACCAGACTGTTGAGTTTTAGGTCAGATTCCTAATCGCTGTAGTTCATGAAGTCATTGGGGATGTTTATTTTAAAAGCTATATATTTAATAAATTTTCTCCGAACAGAATTCAATTTATTAATGTGGACTTGATAGTAGGGGTTCCAGACGATTGAAGACCCTTCTAAATGAGATCTGACAAGAGGTGAATGTATATAATAGTTTTATAGAAAAAATGTATGTGAACTCTCTTGTATTTCTCTGTATGAAACCCAATATCCTCAAAACCTTCCAGCAGCAACTCTCTATATGCTGAGCAAAAGTTAACTCCGAATCAAAAATTAAGATGTTACCAGAGATGGGAAAAGGCAATGCTCTAAATTATTTTCTCAGGTGTACTTTATTTAATATTTCGGTGTGGCTTTATAACATCATAATACCCACTTGAGGAAAAAATGATGCATAGCAGAGCAACACGTAAATGTTAAAGTGACACTATTGTTTTTTCTCATTTTTCAAAGCGATTTTATTGTTTCTTGTGTTTAGAGCCAGGTTACTGATTTTCCACATAGCCTAGACAGTTTTCAAAATGCAAACTTGCATATTTAGCAGCTAAAATAGTTTTTTTTACTTTCATTTACCACGCTGCTTATCTTCGTTTTTTCATTTTTGTATAAGTATAAATACTGCATATTCAGTCTGCAAATGAGTCTCAGAAGGAAACGTCTGGTAACAACTCATTTCTGACGAAAGTTTCATTGTCTCAAAATTATAAATTTGTAGACATCATTTAGTACATATAATCCATTGCTGTAATTCTCAGGAGCACGCTGGATTTGGAGCTATTCAGTAGGAACATTGTCCAAATAAGACTTGAATGACTATCTATATCTAGTTTTCTGGGAAAGTTCCGAATTCGTAAGATATCAGGAAAAGATGCAAAAGAACTGGAGCAAGATCCAGTGTACATCTCTTTAGTACAACCGGACCAGAAGCTATAAAGATGGAAGATGCTACGTACATCGACACACTGTTCGTTTCCTACTCATGATCAATATTTCAAGTTATCAAGTAGCTTGGTTCCTTCAAGATATCAGAAAAGGTTCAATAGAAGTGCAAATTCTGTGGCCAACAAGCCAAAGAAGCTCTACATGAATAATGAAAAATTCACCTAGAGTAGGAATGCAGTTTCTTATTAGAGGAATGTGGTAAATAATAGCGATGTCTCAGGTAGTGAAAAAATGGCGTCAAGTAGGTTGACTCTGCACTTTTCACGCAACGCTGTCATCGGTTCATAAAGGATTAAGTTAGCCCCTCTGACAAAAAAAAATTCTCAAAATTGTACACAAAACTATGCTAAATATGCAAATTTTAAGGTAAAACCGGATCCCTATGCGAGGGGAGGGCTCCCTGGCTTCTTGTGCGGGCGCCCGTTCAAAAACAAATATTTACTTTCGCCAGTGGCGGGTTAAATAAAGCGTTATGTGTGATCTAATATAACATCTGACCTTTTCTGTCTCCTTCCTTTCGGTAGGCTTCGTCCTGATAGAGTCCGGCGATGGTGGCCTCTTTGACTCCAGATTATCCATGGCGTGCCATTCGTTCAAGCAGGACCGGTCAGAGTGGATCCTTTGCTCGTAGTAATCCACCCAACCGTGGGTACCGCCGCCCTGGAAGTAGTTCTGGTCCCGGGCTTTGCCGCTCACCTTGTGAAGCGTCTGTAGGGCCGACCTAGAAAGAAAATAATAGCTATATTGTAGATGTTCGTTCCCCTGTTAGTAAGTAAAGGTCAATAAAATTATCATTATAAAAACATCTCACGTCAGGTATTGGTTAATGACGAATTGGTATAACAGGCAGGCAAAGGTCCTGCCAACGACTTTCATAATAGTTGAGGAATATGTCAGGTAGAAGATTTGCAACAATATACATAATAATAATAATAATAATAATAATAATAATAATGTTCATTGTCACAAAATACAAGTAAATATCAAATATTGTGCACAATAAACATAAAGCACCCAAAAAAAGTTTGCACTTGTGTTTGGGTTTGTACAAAATAAAAACTAATAGTACAGTCAGTGTATGAAAAAAAAAACCGTTAATACTGTATAATTTGGTGAATTATTATGGTCATGTCAGGAAAAATATCCAGACAATTAGAACTGAAGTAAAAGTATGGATGTTAGTGTAAGTAAAATATTATTGATTTTGATAATGATTTTTCAGATCTACAATTTCGTGGATGGAGTACCTTGGTTGTTGTAAAATCCATTTTTTTAGTTGTTTTTTAAATGATTTATTTGATTTAATTTCTTTTAATGACTCTGGTATGATGTTATAGAATTTTGGTCCCAAGAAAAACAGAGATCGTTGTGTAATGGTTTTTGATGTTTGTGGAATATACATTGAATTTTGATTGAATCTTGTTGGGTAGTTATGAATGGTACGATTAAAGTATTTTGAATATTTGAAATAATGTATTAGACCACAATAAAAATAAATTTGTCTGCAATCTAATAGCTGAGCCTCCACATATAGAAAATCACTTGAATAAGTAATCTCCCTATGGAGGATCAATTTTAGAATTAATTTTTGGATTACTTCAACCTTTTTGTAATTATTATTCATAACTCCCCCCCAAGCCAAAATTCCGTAAAGTAATAGAGGATAAACAAGAGCATAATATAGATTATATAGATATTTCTTATCTAGAATATCTCTGAAGTACCTGAATTTTGGAATAATACATCTCAGTCTCTTCACAAGGTACTCTGTATGGGTATACCATTTTAAGTGTTTGTCCAAAATCACGCCTAAGTATTTTATTTTATCGGCTGACTGAATCTCTTTGAGACCACTGCTTGTATGAATTTCAAGTTTTTTAAATTGTGGCGAGAGCCTGTCGTTACAAGAAAATGCTATATAGTGTGTTTTGTTGTAATTAATTGTCAAAGTTCTTTCCGAAAAGAAATTTATAAATGTTTTGAAATCATGTTCGATTGTGGTTTTTAGTGTATGCCACTGGTTGCTTTCATAGAGAATAGCTGTATCATCCGCAAAACCGATAACTTTACCTGTACTATTTATTTTGAACAAATCGTTGATAAATAGATTACACATATAAATCATAATTGGGAATTTCGATCAAACTTGTATCATATACTTTAAATGTTTCAGTTAGCACTATAACATCAAATTTAAAATCTAGTATATCCAACAAGGCATGGAGTTCATTCATATTTCTATGAATGCTCCTTATATTCGTGTGAAAGATGTTCAATCCTGAATCAATATCATTAGAAAAACGTAACTTTGTTGTAGGTAAATCGTCTAAAATATTTGTTTTAATTATTTCAGGTCCAAATTCTGTAATGTATCTACTCATAAATATTCTAAGTCCTTAGCAATTTAGAATAAAATTCTTGATATATGTCTTTGTTGGAAAAATTTAAATACAGCACAACATTTATCTGTAGGGGAGTGATGTGTATTATAGTTTTTATTATATTTTTTGTTTGAATACACACAGTTGCAACAAATGGGATTAGTAGATTTGTTGCATGAAGTATCATCATGTTCTTCTCCACATTTGAAGCATACTTTATGACTATTACATTTCTTACCAGAGTGATTAAACTTGAAGCAATTTGTACATTGAGTTACCTCATTATTAGGATATACTGATAAATTTTGAAAACCAATTAAAATTTTCCCTCCATTATTATCAAATATTTGTCTGAATAGTTTACCTGACACCTCTGCGTAAACTATATTCATCTTTTTTTGAGGAAGGAACCTAACATAGGTAATTTTTAAATTTTCTTTTGTTATAAAATGGTTTTGTCGCATAATATCTTCTTCTATTTCACGTTCTTGAAGTTTTTCTTCAGAGTGGTAGCCAACAATCTTTATTTTAGGATTAAACATTTTCGGTTCGGATATTGTATATGTTGATGGCAGATTCTTCCCAATTTCTTCTTTTAGCTTCTTATGGTAGCGGTCTTCTACATATAATTCAATACCACCATTTTTAGAGTTCTTAACAGTTTCAATTTTGATGTTTATTTTTGATAAATTCAAATTTCTGCTCAGCTCGTTCTTAGTTCTGTAGTTAGACTGTTGTTGTTCAGGGGTAATGATAAGACTTTTAAGTGTCCTTTCTTTACTCTTTGATGGTGAATTTATAACTGCTTGGGCATATGTGGACTTTTTTGTTGTTGTTTCCTCTAACTTCTCAATTCTCCTAAGGAGTGTCTCAAGTGGTGTTACTATACATTCTCTATCGACTATGTTTGAAGAAATAAGATCATACTGTTCTTGAAATATTCTGTTTTCGTTTGATAGGTGGTATATTAATGTTTCTTTTTCCAAAAGTAATGCTTGACAATTTTTTAAATCTTTCGTTTTTTCTAATAACTCCTGTTGTAATAATTTATTCTGTTTTTTCAAGTACTCACATGTTTCTTGCGTATCTATGAAAATAAAATGCTTCAGGGATAATTTCAATTTGTAACTTGAGCTTGTATCTATATCGAATGGAGATGATTCTTAAATAGACCGTAAAATGTTTAAGTATCCATCCTTTTATAAGCTCAAAATAATACAGACTGATTAAACATTAACAAGAAGCTGTTGAATATTTTCCAACGGGCTCTTCCAGAATTTGTATAACTTCCTGTTGATTCGTAAAAAATGAGATAGTTTTTAGTGCGCAAAGTTAAATAGTCTATGAGCTCAAAATTCTTGCAAGTCTAGCTTCCGAGTTACATGAGGCGTAGACCTCTTAATACCCTACTGCAATGTATTAGTTCACGATCCCTCATTCCAATTTGCGATTTGGAATTCTTTTCAGGGTTGTAGGGGATTTTTTTCTAAAATTCTGAGTGAATACTGTTTAGCAAATTTACATTTATGAATTGTCTTGAGCACATTGAAAAAAAAAGAAGGAAATCTGAAGCCTCCGACAGTTTTTGGGCAATACAATATATATATACTTCTAGGGTATGAGATATTTATTCTACGGACCAATACAAGAAATGGAATTCAATACTTGGAATATGCATGACTGGATTGGTTGTCTCAGGTTCTCTGCATTAGGTCTATTTCTTTTCATATTATTAATATTATACATTTTTAATTATCATTATATTACGATTATTCATGAGATTTCTAACATTCCAAACTCTGAAAAAAGGCAGAATACATTAAAGATGTGACGACACATTCATAAAATCTCTGGTGTAACGTTATATAAGATTTCATTTTCAATATCACTACAATGTTTAACTTTTAGTAATTGTTTACTTTACGATTGATAGTCCTTCATTTGTCACCTCAATGTAAGCTTTCTATAATTTGACATGCCGAAAATGTGGTTGTTTTCTCTTTTTCTAATAGTGTAGTGTAATGAACAACGGATCGTGATGTCTGATATCTATATTTCCGTTTTTAAATTAGCATTGTCTTTATAATGAAACATAATACTCCAACTCAGTATCCTTTGTGCCTACAATAAGCTATGTAATCAATTTACAAGATGTAATTTTCATTTCATGGTATTTCATTAACGACATTTGTTTTGGGTTCTTTGTTTAACTTTCTAGAAACATAATGCATAACCCTTTGACATCCCATCACTGCAACTGTGATAAAATACAGGTTTATGGCATAAACACTATGTGAAAAATATTGGTGAAAAGCGAACAAAATAAATGTATCTGAGGCGCTGGGACGGTATCATGGTTCTTCAAAATGTACATAGTCGTGCCATAAGTTCTGTCCCATGATAATCTCATGATAAAAATGAAGCAAGATAAGATATATTTATATGAAAGATATTATTTATTCGACAACATTTTTAGAATTCATAATCAAACAGTTTTATTCAAAATGTCCCCCCTTGGCCTTCACACACTGCTTCAATCTCGCGGGCCACTCATCTATCACTGCACGCACAGCTTCCAAAGGAATAGCTGCCGCTGATCGGATCAAATCCGCTTTCAGGGACTCGATATTACGGTGGGCTTTGGAGCAGGCCAACTGCTCTAGCAGGTCCCACAACTTGTAGTCTAAAGGATTGAGGTCCGGACTCCCTGAGGGCCAATCTTCCGCAGCAATGAACTCTGGCACATTGCTTTCCAGCCAGCGCTGCGTACTCTTAGCCTTGTGAGCGGGGGCGGAATCCTGCTGGTAGACCCAGTGTTGGTTGGCAAACAATGTACCACTTAAAGGCTTGACGATAGGATCCAGTATGTCGCTCTGATAGTTTGCCGCTTTTGTTTTCACGCCCTGTTTACAGAAATGGAGCTGAGTGACCCCTTCGTAGGACACCCCCCACCAAACCATGACTGACGCAGGGTGGTGGCCTCTCTCAACTCTCGGAATGATCTCCGAAGCTTCCTGTGAACTCCTTGCATACACTTTGTCATTTTGTCGGTTGAATTTTTCTTCTATGGTGAAGATTTTCTCATCCGTGAACAAAATCTTTCGGAATCCCCCAGCTGCGTACCTCTCCAAGAGCTTCTTGGATCTTGTCGCCCTGATGTGTCGCAAGGTGGCCGTAAGTCGCTGGCCCGTACGTCTCCAGTAAGCCCCTAGCCCTAGGTCTTGTTTAATGATGCGCGACATCGTCCGGACAGGAATCTTCATTTCCCTGGATAGGATCTTCTGCTTCCGGAGTGGATTCCTTTGAATCCTGGCTTTTACGGCTTTGATGGCTGCTGGAGTCCTTACTTGACGAGGTCTTCCGCTTCTTGGCCTGTCATCAACAGAGGACGTCTCATTGTACCGCTGAATGGTCCTAGACACAAATTTACGCTATATTTGAAGGCCGCGTAAGAGTTCAAAAATCTGACTAGCACTGTGATTACACTTATGTAAAGCTATCACTGCAATACGGTTCTCTGCCTTGCCCCACTCCATCGTTATGCTTCGAGAGATCAATACAAACTGAGGTATATGTAATTACCCGAAAAGCGCTTAATCAACTGACACCACAATGTAAACAATCGGACAAGTATTAACAGGTCTACACTTGTTTGAAAACGAGGGACAGAACTTATGGCATGACTATGTATAGAGAGTTTTCTAGTCACTATGTAGTGCGAATGGTGTCATATTAGCAGAGAGACTTGCAAACGTCATGTGCTTTGGAGAAGTAGACGTTCATTCCATTGTCGATATTATATAAAGTGCCCCAAAAGATATGGGTCATGCGTTAGAGGATAATAGGGGGGCCATTTCTAATAAAAAAATCCGATTGTGCACGGTTTTTGAGGTACCGCCACTCTGAAGAATTTGTAGAAAGTCGCTGCTTTTGAAACTGCAATAAAGACTACAGTCTCAACCGATATTATACAAATTTTTCAAAATAATCGTGATAACTCAAAAACCGTTCACAGTCGAATAAGGACATACACAGTTTGCTTATGGTTCAATGAAAATAATGATGTTATGTGAAACTCAATATCTCAATGTAAAATATTTTTAGAGGGATAATAATGATAACTTATAAATAATAATAATGATAATAAAAGTAGTTATTTGCAGTTACAAAACAAACAGATGTACGGCAAAGGTGATGGGTGCCCATAGCATGAATTAAAGTGAGAAATGTGGAATTAAAAAAAAGTAGTGAGCAATAGTGAGTTTATTCATAAAAAAGTGAGTTAATTTTCTCAGGAATTGAATATCATAATACCCAATTTAAGCGGATAATATAAATAAGGTGATAAAAAACGAGAATAACTCTTATAAGTCCTTTGTTACTGTTATATTGACGTAAGCAAAAACAATTATTTCACAATCAAATATGTGGCTGAAGAACCGATCGATCGAGCGCGATCGAAAACGTTATAAAGGCAGCAGTGCACAAAATTTGTCATTTCAACGTACAACCACGTCTTTTGGCTTTAAATGTGCGTAAATCAATGCGGTTTTCATGCAGTATCGTTTATTTTATGTGTTTTTATGTGTCACTGAAGTCCAGCCCCCCTTCCCCAAAAACACCCCAAAGTTGTGAGTAACGCGAAAAAGTTATTATTTCGTGAAAATTATAATGAAAAAATGCGGTTTTTGCGTTAATCGCATAAGACAAACATACCTCAAGTGTCCTTGAGTGGACATGGCATTAACTCGTGGTTTACCTCCAAAAAAATATATAGATATAAAAAATTACTATGTTGAATCAGATCGGAAACCCGTAATTGTTGAAAATCACCTTACGCCCAACATTTTTTCGCGGATATCTGGTCAACTTAACGTGTTCTAACAGCCCATGGTAGTCGTTTGCTCGAGCGGGGTCCGGAACATACTTTTTCAGGGTTAGGGTGGGTTTACATGCCGTTCGCGCAAAAAAAATTATATTTCAAAAAAATTGGCTTACGCCCAAAATTTTTTTGTGCGAATCGTGTTTATTTAACATGTTCTAACATCCCACCAAGCCGTTTCCCCCAGGGGGGTCCGGAACACCCCGATCCGCACTTCGATCAGAATTCGAAAAAACACCTGTCATTTTTCAAAATCGCTTTACGCCCAAAATTTTTTCACTGATATTCGGTCAACTTAACGTGTTCTAACAGCCCATGATAGTCGATAGCTCGAGCGGGGTCCGGAACATACTTTTTCAGAGTTAGGGTGGGTTTATATGGCGTTCGCGCTAAAAAAATTATATTTCAAAAAAATTGGCTTACGCCCAAAATTTTTTTGTGTGAATCGTGTTTATTTAACATGTTCTAACATCCCACCAAGCCGTTTCCCCCAGGGGGGTCCGGAACACCCCGATCCGCACTTCGATCAGAATTCGAAAAAACACCTGTCATTTTTCAAAATCGCTTTACGCCCAAAATTTTTTCACTGATATCCGGTCAACTTAACGTGTTCTAACAGCCCATGATAGTCGATCGCTCGAGCGGGGTCCGGAACATACTTTTTCAGAGTTAGGGTGGGTTGACATGGCGTTCGCTCTAAAAAAATTATATTTCAAAAAAATTGGCTTACGCCCAAAATTTTTTTGTGCGAATCGTGTTTATTCAACATGTTCTAACATCCCACCAAGCCGTTTCCCCCAGGGGGGTCCGGAACACCCCGATCCGCACTTCGATCAGAATTCGAAAAAACACCTGTCATTTTTCAAAATCGCTTTACGCCCAAAATTTTTTCACTGATATCCGGTCAACTTAACGTGTTCTAACAGCCCATGATAGTCGATCGCTCGAGCGGGGTCCGGAACATACTTTTTCAGAGTTAGGGTGAGTTTACATGGCGTTCGGGCTAAAAAAATTATATTTCAAAAAAATTGCATACGATGCATAAAATAAACATAAAAAATATAACAAATTCTAAATACTGGAGACGTACTTATTACCTATCAAGTAGTCTTGCCCAATTGATTGAAACTGTATTTTTGCGAACTGTCTAATGTTAAAAGGTTGAAATTTGATATAGCTGTTATAGATGATGAATTTCCGTATAAAATTTTCTTTGGTCTAAATTTTAGGTTAGGAACGAGATATCAAGATGCGGATTTCGCGAGCTTGTTTAGACATCGTTTAGCTACTTTTTCATAAAAACATCATACCAATTCATTCAATTCTTTTTGAGACAATTAACCATTTTTGTCCGAATGTCGAAAAAACCCCCAAGCGGCTAGATGTGAAACAAAACTTCAAATATTATAACATTTGTAGCCCACGTTTGTTAAGATCAGCTCAGCCGTTTCGAAGGTACAGGGTGTTTTTTACGAAAATCTTTGAATAGCCCTCATCACTTTATTTTTAGAGATACAGCAACAATTGTCAAACAAGAAAACTCCACATTATTATCGACTTTAAAGATCAGTTTTTTTTTCTTAGGTTACTATAGCGGAATTCACAGAAACATCACTTTTTGGATTCAAGATCGCAGTTAAGCTCCCTAGAGGCAATGTCAGAAACTTGATAATATTTTCCAGGTTTTTTCTTGGCCGTTTTAGTAAGAAATTTTTTTGCCGCAAGCCTCTACGATGGATAGGCTCCCAGCACCTCGCATTCTTTGTTGGCCACCCTGTACAGCGAGAGCGAAAATAGTGAGAAAAGTGAATGTTTTCAATAAAAAGTGAGTAAAACTGAGATGGATCGAAAAAAGTGGGAAAAAGTGGGTCGCAGGCATCCCTGTGTATGGCCAGCTTTAGCTAAGGTAAGAATAATATCCTTCGGACCCAATATTTGATATAGCGTTTCAGAAACTTATCTGGGTGGCCGCTACCTGATTTTATTTTGTTGACAGGCGCAGCTGGCTCTTATGCCTGATGTGCACGATGCTAGTGACTAGCATACCAGCAAGCATTTCACTAGACGGCAATGGGGAAATAGCGACTAAAATTCCAGTTGACGGAGGTTTATGATGTACAACGCCATTAATGTAAAAATCTTTGAGGATTTTTGATGTTTAACCAATTACCAGTTCTTCAAAATTGGCCACAGATCAAAAATTTAAAATATTGAACAAAACAATACGTGTTTTAATCTGTAAGGGAAAAATGAGCATAACAGAGATTATGTATCAGTAATATAGCTTTCATTCGTTCAACCTCAGACGGCTAACCATGGACAGCTATTTCGTGCTATTTGGCGACATCTCAGTATGGCTTGTTCCCAGGTAGGACAACGAACGAAAGCAGAGCAACTCTCCTCTATCAAGGGTATGAATAAGGTCTATCGAAGTAAGATAGCACAAAGTGGCATCTGTTACCATTATCGGCGGGTTTCACTCTCGTAGTAGTCGATTCTGCTAACAGATGACACTTTGTGCTGTCTTATTTGAACAGAGATGATATATTTTCTCAATAGTTGCATTTAAACAATTATTATATTCTCTCTAAAGATAATTGTTATTTTTCTGCACAAATCCTACACGTGGAAGAACGGTTAACATTGTCACTGTCAGCTATATGCAAAATAAAATTGTTTTGTTCTGCTGAAGTGTCCGCTATAGTAGGGGAACCCAAAATGGAATCTCGGGGATTTATTCGAGCGTCAGATTAAGGTAAGGAGGGATTCCTTGCATCTTGTTTAGTAATATATATACCTTTATACAGGTAGTAGTCGAACATAATAGTAAAAAAAATCGATGTTATGAAATACTCCTGCGAGTCAGAATAAGATGAGGTGGGTGAAATTACATGATGTAAAGTTTCAATCAAAGTTTAAAATCTGACGATTCGAGTGTGACGTAAAGTAGTGGGACAGTCATAAACTTCCCAAATTTCATCGTGAAACAAGTACTGAATCACATTCTAAAGCCACTCGTCATCATGATCAATATTCTGTACAGGGATATTTCCTTGTCTGCTAAAAACTGGAAAGGTGATTGCCGTATACAAAAAAGGGGATCGCTCTGAGCTGAGTAATTACAGACCAGTAACGGTACCATCAACTTTTTCAATAGTATTAGAGTACTGCTATCTGGTCAGACTTTGTATTTGGGAAATAATAATATTTTGACAGAAAATCAAGACCTTTTTCGAAATGGAAAATCTACGGCAGGGCATTTGACTGAGTCAATCATGGAGTGCTGTTGCAGAAAATATCAAAGTTGTATTGCATAAATGGTCAACCATATCATTCGATAAGGTATTTTTTAGAAAATGGGTCTCAATTTATGAGTATCGTCGTAGTAGTCAAGTTCGACATGGCTCATATCACCATAGGCGTCCACCAGGGATCTATTCTAGGACCTGTGCTATTCAATTTATACCTAAATGACCTTGAGTACTGTTCCTCTGAGGGTAGATTCATTTTATATGCAGATGATAGTTGAGTGGTGATATCGAATAAGTGTGAGGCAACCTTAGAGAGAAAGAAAAAACATCAGTTGTCCAATTTCATAACATCCAGAACAAACATATGGCATTAAATATCACTTTTATTGGCTCTAGAATGTCCCTTGACACCCAAGTAAAATTCTTGAGCTTGTGTCTAGATATAGGTTCAAATTTTAAACACCACTGTGTATATAATGCTTCAATGTGTTTTTCCAAGTATCGGCGTCCGATCTCCGGACATACTGGATCCCGGAATTTTCATTACTGTGGACATATACTTGTACATAATTTTAAGGATAAACTTACAGAAGTTCTTGCAAGTAAATGTTAATATGCCGTATCTGAGTTTATTTTATGATTTATTCGTATCTTTGTTATGTTTGTTTTGTGTTGTCTTATTAGTTTTTACTCTGACTAATCCTATACATACATTGTAATGTCTCTCAGGATAATAAAGAATTTTAATTAAGCTTGCAAAAACTTTATAGCGAATGAAGCTTACGACATACGGTTTTCACTAGTGCGTAGGATTTTTGATGCAGTTTCTGAATAATGAAAAATAATACCATTGCATTTGGAGTTTTCGAAAAAACAGCATTTCTAATTTTGACATTGGAATTACGTCGCCTAGTGCCCACTTTTGTTATAAAATTATTTGACCCTAAATTAACTGGTTGCCGAGATATAGCCGGCGCGCTTCATTTATGGTCCACCTGGTACAAACCAGCACATTATCATACCTAAATATGAGTGACACATAGGGCATATAGAATAATATACAATCCTTTTACACTTTCGACAACCTGTAGACGCCCCCCGCCACTAAAATGTAATCATTATTTTTTTTCCTTCTGCGATCTAATCTTTGAAACCCGCTAGGTCCCTACGAACGAGTAACTATCCATTTAGATTTTTTACTATTACTATCGTGCATGCGTTAGTTTGGTGGTAGACATCGATTGATTGGAAACATCTACTGTGACACCGTGTAAAGCAGGCATTAGACATTATATCGTGATGTAGCATGAGGGGGTATGAAATATATTCATTTATTAACCTTTGGCCATTCCAACTAATGCCGTGGAACTTATTATTCTGATTAACCACCATTATAACTAGAACAACACAAAACATCCGCGCGGGTTCGCGAGTGCGACCGAGCCTGCGCGAGTCTTGTTCGCCAGTGCGCGCAAATCACTCTGGATATCGATCGCGAATCGTGCGCGATCGATCAGAATATAGCGGCGCGCGCCGTGTTGTGCTAGAAGTCGTACCGTCGCGAGTTCGTTCGAAACTGACTGCCTGACTGCTGATGCTGGGATCCGGCCAAACAGAGAGCAATCGGCGAGTCATTGAGGAGACGGAAGAGACCTAAGATGGAAACGAGCGGTCAACTAAAGCGCGGCTCAACATACGCCGACACGCTGCTGTTGAAACCCGCGCAATCTTAACCATATACGAGCCGTCGGCGAATTAGGAATTGTCTTGGCTACGATGTTGCCACTACTTTGAATCACCTTCAATTATTTTCGAAACTACTGATAAAAGAAAAACTTCATTAAGAAAAAAATGGCGGCTAGTAGTTTGAGTCAGTACATCCCACGCAACGCTGCCATCAATTCGTCAAGGATTATCTTCAGGACAAGTTAGCACTGCTGAGGAAAAAGTTAGCTACGAATATGTATTTAAAAAAATTAATGACTTTCCTCCTCCACCTGAAAGTAGTTGATGCGGGCACACATGATCCTTGCTATGACTAATCCCGCGTGGATGGCGGCTTTTACAGCATACAGCACAGAGCAGCACGGAAGCGACTGCCGACTGCGACGAGATGTCTAACAGGTGTGTAGAATTACGGGGGTTGGAGGCGTATAAATGTATCAACGTAAAAAAATTGAGGTTTTCTCTTCTTTTTAATCCCTAAAAAGTTTTTCCAAAAATGATTAGCCTTTGAAACGTCAAAAAAATGAATGTTTAGCGATTTTAATCTCTTTCATTTTTGGCTTTTTTTCCGCCGCCACTGGACCGATTTTCAAAATCTACAAAGCCTTTACGTCTTTGGCATCATGGTAATGCTAACCTTGTGTAAAAATTTCATCCAAATCCGAGCTGTATTTTCAAAGTTATAGACGGGCCAAGGATCAGCGGATATAACATATTTATTATTTATTTATTTTTTGCGATTAATTCTATAGTAGTAGGCGTGGAAAGTAAAAAGCTCGATAAAGCTCCAGCAGCCTTTCGTGATATCTACAACTGCCCCAGAGTACACACTTCGAGGGGCATCAGAACACACATAATTGTGTCTAAGAAAAAAATGGCATCAAGTAGGTTGACTCTGCACCTACCACGCAACGCTGTCATCATTTCATAAAAGATTATGTTTGACAAAAGTCTTATACAAAAGTTAACTACGAGCATGTCTAACTATATAACAAAGGAATTAAATGGATCAAGTCAGTCAAATAGGTTCATATAACAGTCCCCAACCATTTAACAACGTTGCGATTTGAACATGTCCACGGTGCTACCCCTAAGCCCAAGTAAACGTGATCCCAGCAAATCTCTCTAGCAGCAGCGGTTAGCTTGAGGAAGGTTTCTTCTATTCATATCTTCGTTGTGCTCGACGAAAATCATTTCAAGCGTTATGTGCAAACATACGAGGAAACCTAAGATATACCCTCACTACCCCTAACTTTTTACCACTTAATGTTTTATGTTTTTTCAATAATGAGCAGCACTCACTGAAACGTCAGAAAACGAAGTTTGAGTGATTTATATTTTTTTTTGTTTTTCGTCCGTAGCTCCACAGTGACTGGATCTATTTTAAAAACCTATAAAAGTGTTTGTCCATGGCAAAGTGGTAATTTTGTGTTAAAATTTCATCAAAATCCGAGCGGCAATTTATAGATACAGAGGGGCTAAATATTAGCGGAGAGATAGACAGACAGACAGCCCGAGGGACATGGTTTTCGTGATGCACATGTCATATAACAACCAAAAATATGACGTGTGAAGGAATAAAAGTAGTGCCCCGAATATTGATTTACCGCAGACTCCTACAACCATCCCTCCAGTCATGTTTACTATATTGCATCAGGGTGATTAGACATTTTAAAGGGTTGATAATTTGGTTATTTCTACGCCACTAGGCGAAGCAAAAATGAGATATTATGTTTTTTGGATGCCATATGACATGTACATAAAGAAAAACTATGTAACTCATTTCCGTCCGTTTGTCTGACCTAATCCTTGGCCCGTCTATAACTTGAGAATTAGCGCTCGGATTACGATTAAATCAAACAGAGTTGCTACTATGCTAAGCGCAAAAAGCTTTGTAGTCTTTGAAAATGGGACCAGTGCCGGAGGAGGA